CCGGGCTGCAGCGCGCGCGGGGCTGGTGCAGGGAGCGGGCGGCGGCGAGCCCAGCAGCTGGCACTTTCGCGGCGGCCTCAGCTGGCGCCTCAGGGGGCACCAGGCCGTGGCCAGAGCAGGGGGTCTCCAGGTGCCCGGCCCGGGCTGCCCGCTGGGGCCGCAGCCAGCTCTCTGCGCAGCGTCCACGTGGGGGCCCCCGAGCGCGCAGACAGGCTGCTGTGCTCGCTTCTGCCACCAGAGGGAGACCGGGGCACGCGGATCCCCGCGGTTACAGCGCCCGCCCGCCGCCGGAAGCCGGCTGCAGGCCACGCTCACTCGTCTTTTTAGCGTCTATCCCGAAGGCGTGAAAGGCGAAGATCGCGGTCTTGAGGACGGCGTGGCGCTCGCTTGTGACCCCAGCACTGGGAGGCAGAGGCAGGAGGATCGCCGTGAGTATGAGGCCAGCCGGGGTTATACAGTGAGTTCAAGGCCAGCTTGAGCTATAAAACAAAACTCTCTCACACACAAATTAATTTTTAAAAACCTACTGAAGGCTGGCCTGATAGCTCAGCGGACTAAAGCGCCTGCTAGGCAGTGCACAGCGGCTGGGGTTCGATCCCTGGGGCGCGCTGAGACAGCGCCTGAGACTGGCCGTGGTGGCCAGCGCCTGTAATCTGAACACATAAGAGGCTGTAAACAGGAGATTCACTTAGACCCTGCCCTAAAATACAGGGGAAAAAAGGGGCCAGGGAGATAGCTCAGTAGAATAAACACTTGCCTGGCAAGCGCAAGGGCCTAAATTCAATCCCCAGTATCACACACACACACACACACACACACACACACACAACAAACCCTACTGAGTGCCCACCATCCATATCCATTATTATGACTTATGTGTTCACCTGCTGTTCCCTCCTCAGTCCACACCAAGGTTCGCAGGGCCCCTGTACACTGAGTACCATGTGAGGACAGGTCATGGTGCACAGTGACATACACCTGTAATCCCGGCATGGTGGGATGCCGAGGCAGAGGATCATAAGTTTGATCTTAGGTTGGGCAACGTTAGCCACTTAGTGAGACCCTGTCTCAAATGGATCGGGGCTGGGAATGCAGCCCTGATCCGTCCAAGACCCTGGGGTGAATCCCCAGGGCCATTACAGTGCAGGGGGACAGTGGGAAGGGCTCAGTTCAACACACGCGATGAGGGCTGGGGAGGGCATATAGCTCGGCAGAACAGTTCACCTAGCAAGCACAAGGTCCTGAATTCGATTCCTAGTTACCCCCCCAAAAAATATGCTGCCAATATTGTGGGCAGATGTGCAGGATAAGGTACCTCTGGGTGATGGGGACATTCTGTACCCAGGGTGCTCAGGTGTGGCACAAAATTTTCAAAAACACTTAAATACATAGTTCAGAGTGGTACATCTTGTTGTATGTGAACCCCAACTCAGTAAAGTAACTATATTTCATGTTGGGTTTCACTTATCGAGACAGTTTTGCTGTGTCGTCCAGGCTGGCCCACACTGTCCCAACTCAGCCACCTGTGTCCCTGTGCATGCGCCACTGTGCCTGGCTTCCATAAAGTTGATTATTTATCTTGTTTGGTTGGTGTTTTGGTTTGGTTTTGATTTGTTTGAGATGCGGTCTTGCTACGTAGCTCAGGCTGGCCTTGAACCCAGATCTTCTGGCCTCAGCTTCCGCAGGCGCTGGGATGGCAGGCGTGTACTACCAGCCCAGGAATAAAGTTGATTTTTTTTTTTTGAAAAGCAGGTGAATCCCAACATTAAGGAACAACAAATGTGTTATGAAATGTCTCAGTTGACGGCCCGCCTACCTAGAGCCACCATTGTCCCAGCTGAGTGTCCCCAGGTGTCCCTAGAGATGGACCTTAGAATTCCTGTTCCTGGTGTGCTCCCACAAGTCCTGTCTCCCTTAGAAGAGAGGAAAGATGCCCCGTGCCCAGCCCTCTCTGAAGGTGCCTCTCAGGACTTCCGGGGTCTCCCTGCCAGCTGCCGCGTGCCAGGCCTGCCAGCTCTGCACGCCAAGGTCACCTGTGCGATGCCCAACCACACCGCAGGGCCAGCCACACTGCGCCGAACACTGGCCGAGTCTGCCACCTCCTGGCCCTTCGCAGAACTGCAGCCTACATCCTCAGGGAGGATGGAAACTTCGAAGGCAGGCAGCCCTGAGTGCAGAGCTGGGCTCAGGAAGCCTGTCGCCCTGCAAGGTGGCCTTTGAAGCACAAGGGAGCGGAGACACGAGAAGCTAAGAGATTCCTCCAAGCTCATACAATAAACTGCAGACCTGTGCTTACTCACCGGCCTGTCAACATCCACAGTATATTTCTTTGTCTTGACACGTGGTCTCACCATGTACCTGGGGTGGCTTTGGGTGGCTTTGAACTCACTCAGTGGCCCAGATTGTCCACGAACATGCAGAGCCCTCCTACCTCAGCTCTGGAGTGCTGGGATCACAGGCCTAGGCTACATCTGACCTTCCAGTTTCAGTCCTGTCCGGGTGACATCCTGCTCGAGGAGGAGAAAACGTTCCCAACTGTCCCCTTTCTGTGCCTTCCTGGAGGCCAGTGACCTCACAGTGCCTGCTCAAAGGTGCCTTCTGCGGAAGGAGAGGGTCACAATCCCAAAAGGACTGCCAATGACCGTGACAGACACCTTGCCATAAACTTTGTCAGTCCAGGGAAACCCGCAGCTCCATCAGAGTTGAGTCAAACGAGGTCTTCAATCTGTTCTGTGGACCTAACCGCCCCATGCTTCTAAGTCAAGAATAATAACTCAGAGTGGCATGTTATTTTGCATCTCATTTGCATGTGATTAACTCCAAGTCAAAGTGAACAAGGTCAGCTGGGTCCCATGCTGCCGGGCCCCCACCCCAAGTGCCCAGCTCACTCTCCTGCGGCCCCTGCCCACCCTCAGGGGTTCCCAGAAGAGCCCCTCAGCCACTCAGGCGCCCACGCGGCCCTGCCACCCACCGGAAAAAACTTTTCCCCAAGTTCTCGAGAAGTCGCGTAGGATCCAGGAGAGAAAAATCAAAGTAATAAAACCTCATTTAATTTCTCGCGGAGGGCAGAGCTGCGAGCTGCAATTATCCTAATGCTGAGCTATTTTTACCCTCCCTCTCGTCTCCTGCCTCTGTCGTGAGCCTTTCCCTTCTCCCCACCTCCCTTTGTCTCCCTCTCACATGGCTTTCTGGCTCTTTTTGCCTTCTTCTACTCCTCCCTTCCCAGCTTTGCACCCCCTCCTGCCAGCCTGGGCTCTGGGAAACATCTCTTGACTTGGGCCCCTTGCATATGTCCTTCATACATAAGCCCTAGCCAGGTATGGTGGCACATGCCTGTCATCCCAACACTCAAGAGGCTGAGGCAGGAGGATGTCTGTGAGTTTGAGGCCAGTCTGAGCTACACAGTGAAACCCTGGCTCAAAAGACAAATAACAAGTCCTGCTGCTCAATCCAGGCCTGGCAGGGTGTCTCCAGCGGCCTCTTCTGCACCACTGGGCACCAAGGTGCAACTGGAGGTCACCCCCTCGAGCTCCACCCTCTGTCCCCTTTATCTGGCCCCATGATCCTTCTCACCCTCCCACCCCCAAAGCCAAGACTCTGTCCCTCTAGCTTGGCCCATGCCCTTCCTGTAGCCCTGGTTATTTACCCACCAGCCACTGCCAGCCTGGGCTCTGCCACTCCCTCCACAGCCCAGAGGGAAGAGGGGTTCTGGCCAAGTCAGGGGCTGCCAGAGATGCCCACACCCTGAGACCAGCAGCCTGGTATCCGGCTCTTTCCCAGACAAGTATAAAAGTCAACAAACACACAGGGCCTGGAGCCAGGTCTGGGGCTGGAGGAGGTGGCACTCAGCTGGCAGGACCAGAGACCAGCCCTCCTGCCAACCCCTCCCTCACCCCAAATGGGCCCTGAGTCAGTCTGGCAGAAGCCCTCTGCCACAGGGGGCCTCTGGCCTCCCTCCCGGCCAGGGCATCAGTGTGCTCAGGTGGGGGGAAAACTGTCTGTGGAGTCAGGGGTGGCCAGGGCTTTGGGCCGTGCCAGGCCGTGCCAGGCCGGTGAGTGACTGGAGAGAAGTCAGCCAACATCAGCATGGCCAGGAGGACACACGTGTTGGTGCACGCAACTTCCAGCGTTGCAGAGAAGCTGTGAGACACACTAACTCCCGGCCTGGATGCATGCACAGGGACCCACAGCCTGCCTGGCCCCGTCCCGCCCTCTGATGCCCACAGCACCTCTGTAGAGGGCGCCTGGCATCTGGGAGCAGCGTGTGCACCCAGCCCTTGCTGTTCTACGTGAGCAGCCCCAAGATTTAGCTCTGCCCTTGGGGGACATAAGCAAGCGGGTACCCCATGGCTGGGACCTGTCCCTGGCCCCCACCTGGGCTGCTCACCCAGCCATAGGCGGCTGTGGATCGCTGTCCCCACCCTGCGAGCTGGCACCGCCCGCGTCACCTTGACAGCCTTGACGTCCTCCCACACCCCCGCCGCCTCCACACACACGCAGGTCTCCCACGCGCTGCCACTCACGCGCGTCTCTGACACTGACACGCCGCTTGCACACGCACGGCTCACACCACCCAGCGCCCCACGCCCCCCACTCCAGGCCCCTGCGCTGCTCCCTGCCAGGGTGACTGACGCGTGTCCTCCCACGCTCCCTCGTCCACGCTGCTCGCTTTCTAGGACACCCCCATTCCCGGCGTGACATGTGCCACTCTCGCGGGCCTCTGTCAAACTCCGAGCGCCAGGGCCCCAAGTGGTTAACGCCGCGTCCCCGCTGCCCCCTCCTGCGGTCCTCCTCGCGGCTGGACGCCATCAATAATGCAGCGCGAGCCTAGCGGGCCGGCGGGGAGCCCCCACCTCACCCCGCCGGCCCCGCCCTCTCGGCCCCGCCCCCTCATCGCCCCGCCCACCGGACACGGTGCTCGATGCTCATTGGTCGCCCTCCCTGGTCCGCCCCCAGCGCGCGGCTCCACCCGGGAGGGGCGGAGACCCGCTGGGACCCCGGCTGAGTCTGCCGAGCGACTGAGACAGGGACGCGGGACCGGGCGAGGGCCGGGAGGAGACCCGGGAGCTGCGAGTGCGAGGGCGGAGGGCGAGCCGGGCGAGAGCGCGGAGCCAGGCAGGGGCACAGGCGAGCCCGGAGGGCGAGCGGCGAGCCCGGGGCGCACGAGCCCGGCCGAGCCCAGCGCGGCTGCCACCTGGGCCGGGCGCGGGAACCGCTCTGCGCCTCCGCCCCTGCCCTGACCCTTCCTCCTCCTCCCCGTGCTCCCCGCCGTTCTTGCCCCCCGAGCCCCCTGGCCGCCCGGCGGCTAGAACAGCGCGCGGGCGCGGAGCGGGGTCGCAGCCTGAGAGCCCGGGGCGCGCCCGCCATGGACCCCAAGGACCGCAAGAAGATCCAGTTCTCCGTGCCCGCGCCCCCCAGCCAGCTCGACCCCCGCCAGGTGGAGATGGTAAGGGGCCGTGCCCCGCTGGCTGAGCCCCGACCCATCTGGGACTCTGCGGCGCGCACCCCGGGGTGGGAGCCCAGGGCCGGGGTCCCTGCCAGGGTCCCCGCGGGATGCACAGCGCCAAGTTCGCCGGACACTCGCACAACTTTTCCCGGGCTCTGGGCCCATCCCGGGTGGGTGATTTTGCCAAGAACGTCCTTTCTGGGGCGCTGTCCTTTCACCCGGCCGGTTCCCTCCGCCAGTTCCCTTCCCGGGCTCCCACGAGGACCTCCCGCCGTGCTACGAGCCCCAGAGCTGGTCACATGTGACAGATGAACGTCACACCTGACCCGGTTACACTTAGGGAGCCGGAGGCCCCAGGCCCCCATGTACCCCTGTCCCACCATGCATGCCTGGGGGGGTGGAAGGCCTGGCTCTGGCTCTGCTCTGGGGCTCCACTGCCCAAAACCAGGAGGGAGAGGAGGCCAATCGGACCAAAGCCTACTGGGGCACTTGTTGCTGGGGACACAGTGGGAGGATGGGCCAAGTGGCTAGGGCAGAGGTGGCAGGCGGCCGACAGTCACCTGGGTAGCATTGGGGGACTTGGGAGGACAGTAAGAGATTCGGTGGGGGGTGTGGGGGATGGTTTCTGTGTAACTCAGGGTTCCCAGAAGCCTTTCACTAGAGCCCAGAGGGGGCCCCCTAAGTGACAGATGACCTGATCTCTGTGCTGGATGGGGAGTGCTAGGTCCCAGCGGAGTGTACCCCAGGCTCCGAGCCACCCCAGACTAGACCCTAGGGTGTCACAGAGTAGGCTCTGCAGTGCCCGCCGTACCCCACTCACTGTAGCCCACTGAGTCTCCCTCCGAGTCTGGACCCAGCTTCTGTAGAGCCCTTGAGTTGATCTTAGGTGGACAGGGCTGTGACGCACCAGAGTTCAGACTGGAAGATGAAGGCCTCTGAGTAGGAGATGGAAAGCAAGGTGTTGGTTCTGGGTAGCCATGGAGTGGGACAGGCTGGGCTGGGAACCAGCTGACTGGGCTTTGTGGGCTTGTTCAGTCCTTTAGACTTTGTGTGTGCTGTGTGACGTGGAGCACACTACTGAACCTCTCTGAGCCTGGGGTTTTCCTATGTGTACAGTGAAGGGGCTGAGGGAGCTGCAGAGTTCCTGCCGCTCCGAGTGTCTTTGATTCAAAGGCTCCCTGGGGACTCCAAAGCACTGCTCCCTGCTGCCTTGGGCTGGGGGTGGACCTGGGGTGTTCGTCCTGCAGGTGTCTATCCTGCCCCCCTTCCTCTCCTCAGATCCGGCGCCGGAGGCCAACTCCTGCCATGCTGTTCCGGCTCTCGGAGCACTCCTCACCAGGTAGGCCCCATGCCCGCTCCCAGTCACCCCTTCCTAGGGGACAGAGTTGAGGCCCAAGAGTGGGACGGGTCTGGGCAGCGCCGCTGAGGTCCTCCACCGACCTTCCCTGAAGTGAGATTTGGAGGCAGTAACAGACTTTCTCTCCCCTCTCTCTCTGCCTCTGTCGGTGCCATGTGCTCGGTGGCCTCCACAGAGGAGGAGGCCTCCCCACACCAGGTGAGTATTCCTGGCCCGCACGAGGAGGGGATGGTGCCAGGCGCCCAACCCAAGGTGCCCTCAGTGCCACTCCAGGAGGGCACATTAGCATATCGGTGGCACCTCCTCCTACTGTGGTGGGATGTCAGAGAGGGGGGAGAGACAAGCCCCGGGAGCCCCCTGAACCCTTTCTTGCCTGCAGAGAGCTTCTGGAGAGGGACACCACCTCAAGTCCAAGAGACCCAACCCCTGTGCCTACACACCACCCTCGCTGAAAGGTACCTCCCTGACGTGTGCCCTCGGTCCCTGGGCCACAGCTGAGGCTGTGGGAGGGGTGGGTTCCCACTTGGCCACTAGTGCCTTCTAAGACCCTCCTGCAAGACACAATGTGCCCGGCAGCTGAAAGGGCAGCAGAGGCTTTGCAGCAAGCTGTGGAGTAACGAGGGATGGCCGGCCCCATGCCTCAAGGACACTGCTCAGTCTGCAGGCCCTGGGTCGGTCCTGGCCGGCGGCCCCCAGGCAGGCCCAGCCCCATGGCTGCCAACCCGCTTTCGCTGCTCCTGCACTCCCGCTGCTGCACCGCTGGGCACTGCAGGCACACTTGCCCAGCACATGCATGGCCCTGGGTCGGTCCCCACCACCAGAACAAGGAAAGCTAAGTAAGACCTGGAGATGTGCTGCCCCTAGGTCCTCTGCATCCAATCGCAGGAGCATCACAGGCCAGGCTGCTGGAGTAGACTCAGGATAGAGGGATCAGAGGAACACGGGGCAGAAGGGTGGCACGCAGGCTTCAGGGCCGCCAGGCCTGGTCTCTGGCCAGGGAATTATGGGAGTCACAGCTGAAGGAGTGGGGCACTCATTGGGCTGCCAAGGGCTGCATCCCTCATCGTCCCCGGGGCCCAGAGCAGGACTGAGGGAGAGGTGACTTCTCAGGAACTCAAGCTATCAGCCCCCCATTCTATCCTGAGTGGATAAGAGGGGCAAAAACTGTCCCCTGGGGCTTTTTTTGAGGGATGCTGGAAACCAAACCCAGTGCACGCTGAACATGTGCTGTACTCCGACACACCTGCAGTCCTTCTGGTTCTTGATATGGGGGTGGGTTGGGGTGAGCGGGCGGAGGGGAGAAGGGAGGACTAAAAAAGAGGGATTCAGCCTAGAATCCCAGCACTCGGGAGGCTGAGATAGGAGGACTGCTGTGAGTCTGAGGCCAGCCTGGGGTATACAGTGCATTCAAGTCCAGCCTGGACCACATAAGAAGACCCTGTTTCAAAAAACCAAAAAGAAAAAACATAATGGGAGACTTGGGTTGGGGGATTTTGGGGCTCCAGAAATGGAGAAGCCAGAATAGACAGTCTGGGAGGGAAAGGGTGGCAGCAAGGCAGGAGGTGGCCCAGGGCGTGCACACCTACTGTCCCTGTGGCTCATGATTGCTGTCCTCCCTTGCCCAAGCATAGGGCTCCCAGCACAGGATGCCCTCCCTGGGAGACTCGAGGACCCTGGGGGAAGGGTGGGTCACACCAAGCCTTTCCAGGGGAGGAGGTGGGTGCCAAGGTGGCAGCATCGAAGTTGGCTCAAGGTGAGGCTCTGTTGAGTCCCCAAGGCCGGGGCAGGGCAATTTACTGCACTTTTATTGCCCAGGTAGCTGCCCAGAGCCAGCAGGAGGTTTGGGCACACACAATGCGCCCTCTGTGCCTGTCCCTGAGTTGGCAGGCGCATGAGGCCCTGTCACTGCCCTGGAGGTTTTCAGGCTAGATCTACCCCTGGTTAGGGGAGTACTGGGGAACCCCACCCACTGGACCAGGGCTATGCACTTGGTTCCCTGGGCAAGGGTGCTGCCGAATCCCATCAGCCTCTGGGTCCCTCGCCACCAACTCTGGCTCCCACCTTGTGTTTGGGTCCTTCACAGGGACACTTCCTACACCGTCCCTTCCTGGTATGCACCAAGCAGGCTCTGAGAATGGGGGTGTTGGCAGCTTTCTAGGTCACCGCAGAGGGAGCTGGGAGCTGGGGATGTGGGTCAGAGATGTCGGGGGCCACACTGGAGCAGGCCACTTCCCCAGGCATGGTGTCCCTGGCTGCCAGTCCCAGGATGGAGCCCACCCTTGGAACCTGCAGCCGAGGGTGTGGATGGACATCTCAGGCTGGGTTGCACTGTGGGTATGGGCACAGCATGGCGGGGACAGGATCTGCGTGCGCAGCAAGCCCTAAGCACTGACCTCCCCCTCCCCCCCAAAAAAGGAGTAGGCAAATCTGCCTGGGTGGAACTGTTGCCAGGGGCTACAGGCTTGGGTCCTTGGCAAAGCCCCTGGCCTGGGAACATCAAGCCACTGCTGTGCCTGTCTGGACTTGCCCAGATTGGCACCCTAAAGTGAGGGGTACTTCCTGGTGCCAGGCTCCATGAGGTAGCGTCTCAGGACAGCTTAGAACCAAATGCAGTACAATCTACCCCCTGCTGCTGCTCCTGCCCTGTGAGCCTGTAGCCTTTGGCCCTGGAATGGGTCTGTGGGGTGGCCCAGACCCCGGGGGGCAGTGCTGGGGCTGTGCCCCGGCCTCACCACCCACCTGCCTTCCCTGGGCTCTGTCAGCCGTGCAGCGCATCGCAGAGTCCCACCTGCAGACCATCAGCAACCTGAGCGAGGGCCAGGGCTCGGAGGAGGAGGATGAGTTGGGGGAGCTGCGGGAGCTGGGGTACCCAAGGGAGGACGACGAGGATGAGGATGAGGACGAGGAGGAAGACGAGGAAGAGGACAGCCAGGCTGAAGTCCTGAAGGGCATCAAGGGCTCTGGTAAGCCGAGCGTCCTGCAAGAGCTGACCCTGGTTGCCCTGCAGCAGCAGCACAGGGCCCTCCACACACCCACCCCATGACACCTCATGGGAGCCTCAGGCTTTTTTTTAAATTTTATTTGTGTGTGTGTGTGTGTGTGTGTGTGTGTTTGTGTGTGTGTGGCCAGCTCAGTCCACCAGGGGGCGGGGCTGGCTGGCATGTGGTGCTGGGGATTGAACCGCGGTCCCTGTGCTTTGCTAAGCTTGTTCTAAGTAGGCGCCTTAGACCACTGAGCCGTCTCTCCAGCCCCATGAGCCTCAGGCTTCTGCCACTCTCTCTCTCCCAGCTTTGTTTTACCTGAGAATTCCTCTGTTCCCTGAGAATTAAGGCAAGGCCATGTGAGGTTGGAGGTTAGAGGCCCAAAAGGAATGCCTAAGCTAGACCTGGTGACACACACCTGTCATCCCAATACTTGGGAGGCTGAGGCAGGAGGAGCACTGTGAGCACGGGGCCAGCCTGGGCTACACAGCAAGTTCAAGGCCAGCCTGAACTACATGGTAAGACTCTGTCTCCCACAACCGAGAAAATACAAGGACTTCTATAGCTGTGAGGCATCGTGAAGGAGGAGACTGGGGGAGAAGATGAAGGGAGCCGGCACTCCCACCGCTTCCATTTCTGAGCTGTTGATATGGTCTCTGGGTCTGATTTGTGCTCCCCAGAGCTGGCGCCTTCCTTTCTCCTTCTTAGGATGGGCTGGGAGGGTGCCCTCTAGTGTCCACATGGAGAATTTAGGATTTAAGAACCTTCAACCTCAGCCGCCTGGAGGGAAGGGGGCAGGAAGGGGACCAGGACCTACAGAGAAGGCCTCAGCCAGGGGTTCCGGGCCCATACACTGCCAGGAGGGTCCCAAGCCGGAGCGTTTCCGGGCCGCAAGTGTTCCACCCTTCCCCATGGTCGTTTTCTGCAGGCCTGGCCATGGGAGGCTGTGCCTCTAGCCCTCCTGATACAGGGTGACCTTCTTGCCCCATTATTTATGGGAATGACAAATGGTTGATCACTCCTAAACACACACATGCGCACATGCAAGCACTTGAAACGTTCAGCCCTTGAGCCCTAACAAGATGGCCTGGGCCTGCATCTAAGGACTAGACGATTCCAGAACAGGTGGAGAGGCAGTGAGAGAAGACTGTCCCCTGGAACAAGCAGAAAGGTCCTGGGTCACGTGACAAGACCACCAAGGAAGCCAGGCATGGTTGTCCACGTGTACACTACGTAGTAATTCCAGCCCTGGGGAAGCTGAGGCAGGTGACCACTACAAAGTGAAGGCGCACAGCAAGACTTGTTTTTTTAAAAAAAACCCTACGCTATGAAGCCTCCGAAGGCTTGGCCTCAGCTGGCAGATCTAGCTCTTCCTTTGGGACAGTCAGATGGTACAGCCAGTGTTTTTTTCCTTCTTCCCAACTCTAGCAGGGCAGAAGGTAACCTGTGGCCAGGGCCTGGAGGGGCCCTGGGAGCGCCCGCCCCCTCTGGATGATCCCCAGAGAGATGGCAGCTCTGAGGACCAAGGCCCAGCACTCACTGGTAAGGCTGGGAAAGCACGCAGGGAGGCAGCCCGGGCTTGGAGGCTGGCCCAGGCCCTGAGTCCCCCTCTATTTGCCTTGCAGAGCAAGGGGAGGAACCCCAGCGTCCTGGCCCCCCGGAGCCTGGCACCTAAGTGCCCAGTTCTGCGTCTTCCAGGAGGAAGTGGAAGGGGCCCCCCTGTGCCCCAGAAAGCCACTCTGTCCCTGCCCTACCTGGTGCCCCTTCCCTCCCCTGCTAGGGCTGCAACTTCTAGAAGACTAAGGCTGGTCTGTGTTTGCTTCTTTGCCCACCTTTGGCTGATGCCCAGAATCCCGGGTGCCCGTCCCTGCCAGTCCTTCCTCCATTCACCCGACGGGAGGTGAGGTGGGAGAGAGCCCACGTTGGAAAAATCAGGAAACAGAAACAAGGATTTCCTTTCCACAGTTCTACTCCCCAGATCCTCTCCCCTGGGCACAGGAGACCCACAGGGCAGGACCCTAAGATCTGGGGAAGGAGAACCTGCGGGTGCCCGTCTATCCTCTTCGCCCTCTCTCCGCGGGACTCAGAGTCACCACCCCTCACCGGCGTCTGCCAGACCCCAGGATCCAGTCAGAGCCTTCTGCACACACGCCTCCACGTTTGGAGATCTCTGATCACCCCTCTCCCCCTGCGTGCCTGGAAGACGGACTGGCAGGGGCCGCTTCGTTGCGTTTCGTTTCTGCTTTGATGCCGGGAATGCCGCCTAGTACACGTCCTTAGACGGGATCTGGGGCGGGGGAACCTGGTGCTCCTGGTCCCCCCGCCCCCGCTACTCCGTCCCCTTCCCTTTCTCCCCCGATCCCAGGCCTGAATTCCTCCAGTGGTGTAATAAATCTTTGTAAATAACTGCCGAGACCTCTCTTTCAGGGGAGGGAGGAGAAGCGGGGCTGATGGGGGTCCTGATGGGCAAGGCCGGCACCAGGTCCGCTTCCCGACCCACTTCTACGCAGCCGCTCTCGGGGCCTTCCGCGGGGGCTCAGGGGGCGGGGCTCAGGGGCGGGGCTCAGCCCTGCGCAATTCCCGGCTCGCTCTGGGGGCGGGCTTAGGGGCGGAAGTGGCTCCGCCAGGCGATCTCCTTCCGCTCGGAGGCGCTGCGGAGCGCGGGGCTGGACTGTGCCTGGGTCGGGAAGAGTTAGGACCGTCGCTGACATGGAGCAGGTGGGTTCTACAGACGTCCCGGGGATCCGGGGGTTGGTACGAAGGCGAGCTCTCGCCGCCGGATGCTGCTTCACCGCCCGGTGTCCGTTCAAGGTTCCGTCCGACCCGGCGTACGGCCCCCGCGTTCTGGGTTCCGCCCCCTTCCTCTTCCCGGCCGTCCTGCTCCCCGAGGTGGGCTGGGGCTCGGCGGCCCCCCGAGAGGGCTCACGCGAGCTTTGGGAACGACAGCGGGGAGGCTAGGGGACTGCGTTGGGCATCGAGGGAAGCTCAGGATCAGAGACAGTCTTCGCACGTTCCGTTAGGTCTGCGTCTCAGTGTCGTCCGCTGGTTCCCCGACTTCCTTTGGAAATGGCTGGGAGTAACTTTGTTTTGTTTGTCTTTTTAAGACAGGGTCTCGCTCTACAGCTCAGGCTGGCCTTGAGTTCACTTTGTAGCCCAGGATGACCTCGAAGTCGCAGCGATCCTCCTGCCTCAGCCTCCCGAGTGCTGAGATTACGGGCGTGCGCCACCGCTTCCGCCTTTGTTGTTGTTGGGGGGGAAGAGCAGCTTTGTGATAGAAAGCACCGTGGACACCATGCCGAGTCCTTAGAAACGGCCCCACCTCCTGAGTCCCCGCCTCCGGCGTCCCGCTTGCCTGGTCCCCCCCCCCCCCCCCCCGTGAATCTGACTCCGGAGGTCCCGTCTGCTCCCCAGGATTCAGCTGTGCAGCTGCCCGCGGGGCGCGTCCCCTCCGGGAGCTCTCGGGCCTTCAGCTGAACCGATCTCCCTGCAGATCCATTCTTCCCGCCTTCCACTTCCCCTTCTTCCTCGGTTCCCACCTCTGAAAGGGGACCAAGCAGGCAGCTAACTTACCGAGCCTCGGGTCTTTCTTCCCCCTCTTTGTCCACCCTCCTCCCATGTATTTCTTTCTTTCTTTCTTTTTTCGATATATTTCTCCTACACGACTATTACAAAAGCTTCATAGCAGCTTTTGTTGCTGTTGTTGTTTGAGACAGGGTCTCACTTTGTAGGGCAGGCTGCCCTGGAACTCACAGCGACCCTCCTGCCCCAGCCTCCCTAGTGCTGGGATCACAGGCGCCGCCCACGCACCGGGTTTGGTAGCATCTTCTCATCACGACTTCCTGTGAGCCAGTCTCCTACTGCAGGCCTTGTGTCAGAACACAAATCTGTCACTTCCTCCATAACTCACTGCTTCCTGTCGCCTATTTTAAGAGGCTGGATCTGTGCTTGGGGTTTGCTCAGCTCTCACCTCCTGTCCCCGATTCTGTTCCCTCGCACACAGCGACCCACCTCTTCTGCCCTGCTGGCTCCCTTCTGCCTGTTCTCCCGCTGCTTGGGCAGCCTCGTCTCTGGGTTCCCTTCTCCCGTGATTCCAGGGCCCTCCATTCCCCCCGCGCGGCTCCTCGCATTGCCCTGTGGCCTGTGGGGTCAGCGCTCTGTCTCAGTCTCCTGCTTTGTGCCTGCCTTGAGGGGCTGTGAGGATGAAAGGGCGAGTGCAAAGGGCCCGAACCGGCCAGGCCGGGAGTGCTCAGGCAATGCCCGGGTTACTGTCACGTACGCAAGGACAACCAAAGGGGATGCGGCCGTCATCCTTCTAATCCAGCTCCTCTGGAGACTTTTTAGTACCAGAAATCGAACTCAGGACCTTGCGCTTTGCCAGACTGGGCTTGTGCCGCTGAGCTATATCCCTGGCCCTCTTCTCTGAGACTGAGGCAGGAGGATTGCAGCCTTGAGGCCAGCAGGGATGCCTGAATGAGAACGTGGCTCAAAATGCAGTTTAAAAAGGGCTGGAATGTAATTCCGTGTAGAAGTGTGTGGCTGCCTGGATTTATTCCCTAGCACCTGCTCAAACAATCCAGAAGCTCCTTGGTTCCTTATGATTTTTAATTTCATAAGCTACTCAAGGACAGCTCATGGGGCTCACTTTGTTGTAAATGAAAACTCAGGGTGAAGGGAATGGGGGGGGCTGAATTTGTTACTGAGAATTCCGGATGACGAAGGCCCAGACCCAGTGTGTGGACCCACGTGGGTTGGCGCTGCGCTGTAAGCTCCCGCCCTGGGAGAATGCGGAGCGCTGGGAGCCAGGGCGAGACGAAGCGGCCTCCAGTGGGCTCATCATGGTTGTGACAGAGGTCTGGACCCTGGTGTTGGGGCTGGCCTCGCCTGCCCGGGGCTCTGGCTGCTCCGCCGGGTGTTGGGGGAGCCCTGCTGATGCCATGCACCCCAACACTCAGGGCCTTTCCTTGAGAAGACCAAAGTCTGGCTTTTGCTGCTCCCTGGGAAGGCGGCGACCCCTTCCCGCTGCCCGAGAACCTCACCACAGCAGCCCCGTTTGACCCGGCGTCACTAGGGCTGGGGCAGGTGTCGTGGGGTCGCCAGGTTGCCCATGGGGTGGGGGGACAGCGAGGCTGGGTCGGTCCACTTCTCAGGACTCCTGGGCCCCGGCCTGTGTGGAGGAAGAGGCTAGGGAAGAACTTGGCCTTCTCTTTCAGCTCGGGCCACCATCCTCTTCCCCCAGGAGCAAAAGAGAAAGAGAGCCTGGCTTGAGCTTTGCAACACTGCTTTATTAAAGTGTCTCTGGGGACATACCCCTGCCCATGGCAGTCTCCCCTCCCCCACAGTCCCATGTGGGGCGCTTCTTATCCCCACTATCCAGGCCAACAAACCGAGGTCCAGAGAGCTTCGGTGGCTTCCTGGGGGGGCGGACGTTAGGCCAGAGGCAGCTCACTCCTCGACACAGCTGTGTGTGATGGCCACTGAGCCATGCAGGACTCGGCGGCCTGGCCTCAAGTGGGAAGGTCCGTGCTGTGGGTGGGGGTGTCTGAGCCAGAGTCCTGAGGGGCCAGGCCAGCTGGAGGGGGCAGGGGACACTGTCAAGGAGGTGACATGTGAACTAGAGGGTTTGAGTTCCCCCAGTAGGAGGAAGAAGCTCCGGATGAGGAAGCAGGCCGGGGAAACCCAGAAGGGGCTGCTGTCGCCACTGTGTCCTGGGCTGGCATGGGGTGGGTGGGCTCCAGAGCAAGAGGGTGGTCCCTCCTCCCCCTGTACCCTGGTGATGGAAGGGTTGCCTCCCCTGGCTCCTGGGACTTGGGAGGGAAGGGAGTGGTACCCTGTCTTTGAGTGCCCAGGAAATCAGTTCCTCTCAACTCCCAGTTGTGGAGGGCCAGTTGGGGCCTGAAGCAGAGAGGTGACATGAGTGTCACATTCCCTGAATATCCGCCATGAGCCTGGGCAGTGCTCTGGCACTGGTAAACCCCTGGTGTCCTAGCATTTGTAACTGAAAGACAACTCTAAAGACAAGGCTTTATGTGTGGGAGGCTGAGGCAGGAGGATCCCGGGGAGCTCCCTGTTACCCTGGGAATCGCAGGGCTGCTTGCCCTGTAGCCCTTGGGCACTACCAGCCTTCTGTCTAGAGGGAAAACAAGGCGGGAGTAGCAGCCGACTGACGGTCACAAAGCCACGGCCAGGTCAGGACACTCTGGGCCCTGACACCCAATGAGTCATTTACACCTGACAGTGAGGACCTGATGGTTCACCGGCCCGCTATGCAGAGGAGGAACCTGAGACGGAGATTAAGTGACCAGAAAGGTGGGGATCCAGGGTGCGGCCCTTCTGGCTTGGAGCCTGGTTCTTGCTGTTCTTCACCAAACCCACTTAGGGGCTGAGGCCCCCGGGGACCCGCTGCCACCAGCACCATGGGAGCGTAGGGCGAGGACAGCATTTCCTGGAGTCCCAGAGCCCCCTCTCTTCAGGAGAGGGCTTGGGGAGCCATACACCCTGGAAATGTTTTTGTTTGTGAATGTGGGTGACACAGCCCGGGACAAGTTCTAGCTCTTGGGCACTTTGGCCAGGTTAGGGTGGGAATGCCCTGCTATCTCAGGGTGCCCGGATGGACCCACTCAGGACACTGCCCCAGGTAGCAGGTGAAGCAGCCGGGCCTAGCCTAGGAAGTAAGTGGCCTTGTCGCAGACTGGATGTGGGCAGGAGCTGCAGTCAGGTGGCTGGGGCCTTTGGCGTGGGACCCCAGGGCTGACAAGGACCCCATCATTTGTACCCCAGCCCCCTTTGGCCTGTGGAAATCGGGGGCTGGAGTGGGGAGCTCAGTCTTTGATCCCACTTGTGCATCCCAGCCACCTTTGAGCCAGTGCTTGGCCTGGAGGCCAGACTTGACAGCAGCCTTGCCGGGCTGGGTCTGATACACACACATGCACGCACACACGCACACGCGGGCATGAGCACACACACGCGCGTGCGTCCACAAACTGGCCCTTTCCTGTGCTACAGCTGCCCAGGTCTGCTGCAGGGAAGCCCCATTGCACATGCGCAGAGCTGCTCCTGTGGCATCTTTGGCCTGGAGGAGAAGCCAGGGCTGGAGAAATCTGCCTAGCGCCCTCCACTTGAAAGAATCTAGGGTGTCCAGGCCCCCGAGCTGCTCAGGTTCCCAGACTCAGCAGCCCCCAGCCCAGGACTGAGGTAGCCCTGCTTTGTTCCCTCCCTCCCTTTGCCTTCCGCATGCTGCCAGCCAGTGCTGTCCCCTGGACACCTCTGCAGCACGGAGGACTCAGCAGGGTCGGTGTGGGGAGGGGTGCGCTGGGTGCCGCCTGGCCATCGCCAGCCTCATACCTCTCCTGTGGGCTTCCTCCTGGCAGACTCCAGCCTCTGCCCTCGCGCTTGGGCGGCCAGCAGGGGCAGTCGGCAGGGGCAGTCGCAGGCCAAGGTCGGGTCCCTAGTTGACTGGCGCAGCTCCCAGACCTTTTGAAGTCACCCAGTGAGCCACATTTTCACCCTGACCTCAAGGAAGCCTGGAAGCTGGGCACAGGGGTACACACCTGGCTCCAGGAAGCTGATGCGGGAGGAGGCAAGTTGGGGCCCGGCCTGAACCTACAATGGAACACTGTGTCACAGAAAAGCAGTGGTGTGAGGGGCTTTGTAAACTCAGCGAACTCCTGAGATCAGCAAAGGCTCCAGGAGCAGACATTGGGCACAGGTCCGGGAACTCCTGGCTCCTGTGAGGATGTCATGTTGAGCCTTGAGGCCCTTGAAGCCCCTCCTGTGCCCTCACCTGCACCCCCACTCTCAGCCCCTTTGAGCCTCGCCCCATTGGGCACATAGGCCTGAGGTGTTGGCGCTTTTGCTCTGAGTAGGTCTAACATCCACGCTTCTACCACCCAGCCTGTGCCAGGGAGGGAGGGAGCCAGGGAGTCAGGGCGGGCAGGCGCTGGAAACATCCAGGGTGGAGCAAGGGGCAGAGCGCAGCCTGTACAGGGAGAGGTAACAGCCTAGGCCTGGGACACAGGGAGAGCTGTGGGCTGCCGCGGGCACTGGGCGACACCTCAGCAACTACACATGCAGCCCAGGTGCTCATGGGCCCAGGCCAAGGGCTGCGCGTCCCCCGGGCGTCTGTCCTGGGGTCTAACCCCTGTCCCGGGGTTAGAGCTGCAGTGTGCTAGAGCCTTGGGCTCTCGTGCACCAGGAGGGGATTCATCTTTAGGGCTACAGACAGACAAAACTGTAAAATATCTGTGGACCAGGCGTGGTGGTGTAGGCCTGTGATCCTGGCACCCAGGAGGCTGAGGCAGGATGAGCGGCTCGGGTTCACGATGCCACGGTGTTCTTGGAGAAGATGGCGTAGGCGGCCGGGAAGCAGAGGCAGGGAGCCTCGGGAGTGCGTTCTGCCCTTGCCTCGATTGTGGACTTCAGCCTCTGGAAAGGGACAGGGTACTTTGTTTATTTGCTTGTTGCTGTACTGGGCCTAGTGCTTATTGGATAAGCACTGAGCTCCATCCCCAGCCCAAATTTCTGGTAGTTTCTTTCTCCCCCTTTTCCTTTTCTCTCCCTTCCTCCCTATCACCCTTTCTTTTCTTTTCTTTTTCTTTTTCTTTTTTTTTTTTTTTTTTTTTGCAGAACCAGGGATTGAACTCAGGCCCCTGCACTTGCCAGGCAAGCACTTATTCCACTGAGCCATCTCCCTGGCCCAAAACAACACTTTTTTGTTGTTGTTGTTTTGTTTTGTGGTACCAGGGATTGAACTCGGGACCCTGTGCTTGCCAGGCAAGCGCTTATTCTACTGAGCTATCTCCCCAGCCCTTCCCTACCATCCTTTTTCTTTTCCTTTCATTTTTGTTGGTGCTGGGATTGAACCCAGGCCCATGGCACGGAGCTCCAGCCCCACCCCATTTCTTTATTTTTTTAATCTTCAGGCAACCTTGTCCTGAGTCACAGTTACCCAGGCGGGGCCTCAGTGTACAGTTCTCCTGCCTCGGCCTCCCAGAGTGCTGGGATTTCAGACACGCACTGCCACACCCAGGTCAGATTTCTGTTTTAAACAAACAACAAAAAAGACAGTCATAAGAAAGAGATTAAAAGTAAAAAGACACAAAACACACACAGGTGGAAAGTTACTTTGTGAAAGCCATGGATGAGAAAGACGGTGACGGAAAGCAAGGCAGACAGGCCAGCAGGGCCCGGGCGGCCGTAAGCGCCAAGGCAATGTCGCCAGCCCTGGAGCTGCGACCCATCGCGGCGGGGGACACGCAGCTGGGCTGATGGATGTTACGCTTTGTCGCCGGCAGCCTCTTGTGTCCCTCTGGCTCCTGTGCCTCAGAAGTCTCCGTAGAGACTTGTCATGGGGACCCAGAGTGGGTGGCATTGGGGTAACCTTAGGGCGGCGTTGCTGCCTCTCCTGTTGGCGGGGCTTTAGGGGTCTGGCATCCCACCAGCCATGAACTGGGGGCTTAGGAGGGGCCACTCCAGTGGCTCAGTGCTTGCCAGGCTGGTGTGTCAGGCCCCTTGGCATCAGCCACTCCTGCTCCTGCCCAGGGGACAGGCCGCCTGTAGCTCAGCGAGTGGGTGGAGCAGGGGCCCCCGGCCCAGGGGCTGCAGGCAGGCGCAAGTGGGGTGCGCTCCTGTTGTGATTAGGATGTTAGGATACTTCTCTGAGCTTGGGTCCCCACTGTGACTGGGCAGAGCAGTCCTGTCCCGCGTGGACGCTTGGGTGGCAAGCAGCAGGAAGCCACGCTCTCTGCCGGGATCGCCTCGCGCCCTCCACATGCAGCAGTCGGATCAGAAGGCCGTGCTCTGTGCTGGGCGCCTGGAAACAGCAGTGCCTGGTGGGCTAGAGCGACCAGCCACGTGGTTGGTATCTGGCTAATGAGAGGGGAAGGACATGGCGAGGCCTCGGCCGAGAGCGGTCTCAGCAGCGCAGCGCTGTGCTATGGGGCAGGGGCATTCCGGGCTGTGGAGACAGCCTGGTCCCAGGGTCCAGAGACCGGGCAGGTGGCCACATGGAGGATCCCTACCACGACACCTGGGTCAGAGGGTTGGAAGTGCTGGGCGGAGGTCATGAGAGGGCCCAGCAAGGTGGCCAGGACCGGAATGGCAGCAGCTGGTGTCTCCTTCCCTGAAGTCCCTCCTGTGCCACCTGCGGAACAGGGCTTTCCGAGCAGCAGGAGGGGTGATGTGCCCCGCAATCCCATGCCACCCCCCAGCTGGGCAGCGGGGTGGGAGCAGGTTCCAAGATGTCCCTGGTCCGGCACACAGTTGCTAGGGCCTCGGGTGGCAGGAGGGGGAGCCCCAGGGAATGTGCTTTGTGCTGGAAACAAAGAACAGAGCCCAGGCCTCTCCGGGGCGGGGACAGAGGCTGTTGACAGGGCTAGGTGGAGGCTGAGCACCAGGGCCGGGCCTTGGCGGTGGCCCCAGGCCCCTGGAGCAGGTGGGTGGCAGCAGGGGCCCCAGGGTGAGCCGAGACAGCTGGGCTGGGAGATGGGTCTGGCCCCTCTGGGTGGGGGCTGGTGCAGGCTGCAGGCCAAGGGGACTCAGTGACCGCCAGGACCCTGACCGCCTCACCCGTTCCCAGCCCTGCCGCTGAGGCCCCAGGTCCCCACCCAGCACGGGGCCACCAGGATGAGCAAACTGCCTGGGGAGCTGGCCCCGGACCTGGAGCGCAGCCTGCCAGCCATGGCGTCCCTGAGCGCGTCGCTGTCCCACAGCCAGAGCCTCTCACACCTCCTCCCGGCAACCCCAGAGAAGACCCGGGCCATCTCCGATGTCCGCCGCACCTTCTGCCTCTTTGTCACCTTTGACCTGCTGTTCATCTCCCTGCTCTGGATCATTGAGCTGAACGTGAGTGGGGCGTGGCCAGACGGGAGGGGCATGGCATCACTCACTGGGCCTCAGTTTACCCATCTGCCTGTCCCATGGGGCAGAGGAAGGCCTGGCGATCACAGCTGAGGCTGTCACCTTCTGGCGAGGAAATGGAGTCACAGGCCTCCCGACTTTGGACCTCCGCTTCCCGGCCTTGCTGGGTGCTGCCCCCTGGTGGGTGCCCTGGGAACAGCGGTGGTGGGCCTCCCCTCCTGCAGCCCTGGCGGTGCTCGAGCTCCAGGCTTGTGTCTGCTCTGCTCCACAGCTGTAGCTCATTCACGTGCTCCCTTCTTTCTCTCAGTAAAACGTCTTGAGCCCTGGCTAGGTCCTAGGCCCTGTGCTAATCACAGGGGTGCAGTGGGGAGGGAACAGTGGACACCCCCAATTTGGTGCTCTGGTTTTGGTGAAATGCAGCCTATTGACCTGGAGACAGAGGGCCGGGGAGATGGCTCTGTGGAATAAGCGCTTCCCTGGCAAGTGCAAGGGCCTGAGTTCAATCCCCGGTTCTACCAAAAGAGAGAGAGAGACAGAGCTGCCCCAACCTGAAGGGTCCACAGCACCCCTCCAGGACAGCACAGCCAGTGGGTGTGGGGCTGAGCAGGCTTGGTCTCCCTGGGGGGAACCACCCCTTCTTCTGGGGGACACTGGCCCTTGAGGTCTCAGGCTTGGATGACAGGAATACAGTGCCTGTGTGTTTGCTTGCTTGGGTGTTTTGTGTTGTGTTTTAAGTGGGTCTTGCTATGTTGCCCAGGCTGGCCTTGAACTTGGAAGCTCAAGCAGTCCTCCTGCCTCAGTCTTCTGATTCACCGCGACTATAGGCCCAGCTAACAGTGCCTCTTTTTCTTTCCTGTACTGGAGATTGGACCCAGAGACTTTGCACTAAGCTACATCTCCACCGCTTTTGTTATTTTTTATTTTGAAATGGGGTCTTGCTAAGTCACTAAGTTATGCAGTTTGCACTAGAACTTTGTGTCCTCCCATCTTGGCCTACAGGGTCTCACTATGTAGATCGGACTCAGTGATTCTCCTGTTTGCAGCCTCCCAAGTGCTGGGATTACAGGTGTGCACCACCACGCCCAGTCTCAACAGTGCTTGTCTTGCTAGAACTGACGTTTTGGGCAGGGGCCGGCCTAGAGACCGAGGCCGCTCTGATGCTGGGTGTGTGAGGGCTGAGGTGGGCCGGTGGCTGTCCTTCTGCAGCAGAACTGAGCTGCCATCGGCACTGTGACGGCCACTGCCATGGGGGACTTGGGAACAGACAGGCCTTCGCAGAACTTCAAGGCCCTGGGATTCTCCTTTGGAAGGTCCCAACTGGCATCCAGGCAAACTCTGGACCCCACGCTCTGTCCAGTGCAGGAGTTGTAACTGGGAGCAGAGCACTTCCAGCCTCTGCCGAAGCGGCTCAGTGTCAGGAGGCGGGCGGGTGGGCGCTGCAGGCTCTCTGCCTACTGAGACTCCCTGCTAAGTGTGAGAACCTCGCTCCTGTTTCCCACTGCGAGGAAAACTTTCGGAACTCTGGGTGTGAGCATTGGTGGGGCTGCCCTGCCCCACTCGGTGGGCCCCGAAGGGGGACATTCCTCGTTTCCAGTTGTGTTGGTTTCTTTCTGCATCTGCCGCGGGTGCCGTGCACTTCTCCGGCTGTGTCTGTGTCGGCCGGGGCACACAGGACCCTGGACCTGCTCTGTGACCGGCGCAGAGACTGGCAAAACAGGGACCAAACCCCCACTCACCCTGCAGAGCTTTAGGTGCACTGGGCTGGGGACCCCCCCCCCCGGCACAAGAGGGGATGTCAGATGTCACTGGCGGGGTGGGGTGTGGTGGAGTACTTGCGTGTTAGGGTGTCAGTCTGTCCCCAGCCTGAGCCACTTGCAGCTTTACAGGCTCCCTGGGGCTCGGGCCCAGTGCCCCAATGATCTGCTTTCTTGTGAGACCCCCAGATTCACATGATTGCAGGAGGCCAGACACCCCCATCCAGGTGGCTGTGAGGGGTCCTCCTGGGCTTCCTGGGCTGTGCTCCCCCTTTTCCAGGGGTGCTGGTGCTCGTCGTTTCCAAGGAGATGGCCACAGGCTCTGGAGTCTGGCCGGGCTCTGGGGGCTGGGTGTGTGAGGGTAGCGGACGGTGGGGGGACACGTGAGGGTGTCCCGCTCTGCTCTGCGGCCTGATCAGTTCTGCTCCTTGAGCACAGACCTGAGTGTCCACTGCCTAGGGCTCTGTCTCCCAGCACCACCCACGGGCCCAGCCCCCATGGGGACTGAAGGGGGAGGCAGCCCCCCAGGAGGCTCCTGGCCTGGCCCCCCGCCCCATCCCGTGGCCCCCTCTCCTTCCCTAGGACCAGACCTCCAGGGCAGAGCACTTGAGCCCAGCACCGGGGATTGAACTCAGGCCCTTGTGCTTGCCAGGCAAGCGTTTATTCGACTGAGCCATCTCCCCGGCCCCTCCTGTTTGGTTTTTGATTCTGTTTGGTTCAGGTTTTTGAGACAGGGTCTCACTGTAGCTGAGACTGGTCTTGAACTCATGATGCAGTCCAGGCTGCTCTGAAGTTCACAGTGACCCTCTTGCCTCAGCCTCCCGGTACCAGGAAGAAAGGCACGTGCCGTGACAGCTGGCTGCTGCTTGAGGGGTGGTATCGGCACGCAGGGTCCCCAGCCTCTGGCTGAGGCCCCTTTGCGTGGACGCGTAGCTGTGCCAGCCTCTGTTCCAGGGTGTCTCACCCCGATCCGAGGCAGGCAGGGGTACCCTAGGGAGACAGCTCTGCCTGCACAGCTCTTCCCGTCTTCCTTCCAGACCAACACGGGCATCCGCAGGAACCTGGAACAGGAGATCATCCACTACCGCTTCAAAACCTCCTTCTTCGACATCTTTGTAAGTGGCCTGGGGAGACCCTGGAGGGAAGCATCGTGGGATTGGTGGGTTCTTCTGTTTCTGTAACACTCGCCTGAGGGACCAGAGAGGCCCTGTTCCTGACCTCCTGGCCTGGGGAGGTTCCTCAGGGGCCCTGTCCAAAGTCACATCAGAGTCAGCCGGCTGTGGTGGCGCACACCTGTCAGCCCAGCACCGGGAGGCTGAGGCAGAAGGATCATTGCGAGTTCAAGGCCAGCCTGGGTTACAAAGTGAGCTGAAGGCCAGCCTGAACCGCATGTGGAGACTGGGTCTCAAAAAAGCAAAAAAGAAAGAAGCCAGTCTCATCCAGGTGACCCGAGAGACTCACCTGTCTCTCCTGAGGACACTGACCCTGGAGGTGAAGGACCGAGGGGTTGCCCTGCAGTGGTGGGGGTACCCACTCACCCTGGTGGCCCGTCCTGCCAGGTCCTGGCCTTCTTCCGCTTCTCTGGGCTGCTACTGGGCTATGCGGTGCTGCGGCTGCGGCACTGGTGTGTTATCGCGGTAAGGCTCCCCCAGGGAGGGCACGCCCCGGTCGGGGGGGGGGGAGGAGGACCCCTCCCCGCCTCACTTTCCTCTGCCCTACAGGTCACCACGCTAGTGTCCAGCGCCTTCCTCATTGTCAAGGTCATCCTCTCTGAGGTCAGTGGCCCAGGTCTGGCTGGCCTGGGGCCATTTCTGTGCAGTGGGGCATCTGCCCTTGTTGCTGTGTAGGAGTGTGGGTGGATCCCACCTTGTGGTCACCCTCGATGGTTTCCCCTGCTTACTTCCAAGCCACCTCAGGAATCAGGAAGTTCTTCCTGCAGTCTCACCTGGGTTTATGCTGCTGCAGACTTAACCCCAGCTGAGAGGCCTGTGCTACAGAGGGTGCCCAGAGTAGGGGCAGGTCTCAGGTGGGCCGGGTGTGCTTCGACCTCAGCCCCCCTTGCCTTCATGTAGCTGCTAAGCAAAGGGGCCTTTGGATACCTGCTCCCCATCGTGTCTTTCGTCCTCGCGTGGGTGGAGACCTGGTTCCTTGACTTCAAGGTCCTGCCACAGGAGGCAGAGGAGGAGCGATGTGAGTGTGGAATACAGGGGTGCAGGGAGGCCCAGCCCAGGGTGAGAGGGCCCCTGGCACCTTGCCCACGGTGAGTAGCCTCGCAGGGGCTGGGACGGCCTTGGTGAGGGACAGTGGTGGCCCCATATCTGCTCCCCAGGGTACCGGGCAGCCCAGGCTGCTGCAGCCCGAGGCCCGCCGCTGTTCTCTGGGGCGCTCTCCGAGGGCCAGTTCTATTCACCCCCAGAATCCTTTGCAGGTGAGGGCGGCCGGGAAGCGGAAAAGAGGGGGCTGCATGTGTTCTCTCTGTTCCCACTCGCTCCCCGGGGACCGCCGCAGCCCTCCCCCACGCTCTGAGCCCCCACATCCTCGTGCTCCCGCCCGACCCCCATCTCGCCCACACCGCCCCACCCCTTGTCATCCTGGTTTCCCCGCAGGGTCTGATGATGAATCAGACGAGGAAGTCACAGGGAAGAGAAGCTTCTCAGCCCAGGTACCTGCGCCACGCACCCCACCCCGCCTGGCAGGGGCTCCCTGGCCAGCAAGCTGCTGCGGCTCAGGCCCACCCCCCGGGGGGGACCCTCTGGGGGGGCCTGAGAGGGCGTGGACTTCAGGGCAGAGCCCAGCCCCCTGATCTGGCCCTGCCTCGGCCCTGGCAGGAGCGGGAGTACATCCGCCAGGGTAGGGAGGCTACAGCCGTGGTGGACCAGATCTTGGCCCAAGAGGAGAACTGGAAGTTCGAGAAGAATAACGTGAGGACCCCCCATCCCACCCCACCCCCAGGCATCTCCACTGAAGCAAAGATGCAAACCCTTGCTCCAGGCAGTGTCCGCCTGGTGTTTTGTTTTTTTTTTTTCCCCCTGGAACCGGGGATTGAACTCAGGCCCTTGTGCTTGCCAGGCAAGCACTTACTCTACTGAGCTAACTCCCCAGCCCCCCGCCTGGTGTTTTGTTTAATGATCAAAACAACATTATCTCTGAAGGCTGGGGTGGGCTTGGGGAACAAAGACCTGGCCTGGTCCCTCTCTCTGGCCCAGGCCCTGGGGACTGGTGGGAGCCCTGTGGACAGGGTTCTTCTGGTCAGGCTGCAGCTTTTTCAGCTCAAAGCTTCCCTCTGCTCCGCCCCACGCCCATCACAACCACTGGCCTTTAGTGGCTGCTCAGACGTCCCCAGTGCGGTGAGTTCTCCCAGTGCCCCAGCCCCTCCACCACCCATGCCCCTCTGTCCCTGCTGTAGGAGTACGGAGACACTGTGTCCACCATAGAGGTCCCCTATCACGGCAAGACCTTTATCCTGAAGGTGAGTGGGGGCATCCCAGGACTCCTGTCGGGGGTTGCAGGGGAGACCCCACAGGCCCCCAAGAGAGCCCTCGGCCTACCAGTGCTGTCCGCCTTGCTCAGACCTTCCTGCCCTGTCCGGCGGAGCTGGTGTACCAGGAAGTCATCCTGCAACCTGAGCGGATGGCGCTGTGGAACAGGACGGTGACCGCCTGCCAGGTGAGCCCAGCTGTGCCCTGGTGTGCCTCAGTTTGCCCATCTGTTCAATGGGGGAGTGGTCATAGTGCCACTTGGAGAAGATTGTGTGATCCATGGCCCTGCGTATGGGGACCCAGTAGAAAGGGCCAGGCCCAGGTCCCCATGTTCTCATGCCATCCCTGGGCTTTCTGGTGGGCGGCACCTCAAGACCTCACGTGGGCCCTCAGATCCTGCAGCGGATAGAAGACAACACCCTGGTCTCCTATGATGTGTCGGCAGGCGCTGCAGGTGGTGTGGTCTCCCCCAGGTGAGCCCCTCACACCTCAAGGCCTCCCGGGCCGAGACCTCGTCTTGGCACCCCTCCTAACCCTGCCTCCCCTAGGGACTTTGTGAATGTCCGGCGTATCGAGCGGCGCAGAGACCGGTACCTGTCCTCGGGCATCGCCACCACACACTGTGCCAAGCCCCCGACGCACAAATACGTCCGGTGAGCCTGGCCCACGGGCTGCCGGGTGGGACCAGGATGAGTGGTTTCTGCCTGGGGAGACCGGCTCCCCCCCTCCCCTTTCCTCCTTTTCCTCCTGTGCCTGCTGGGGCCGAAGGCCTTTGTGGGACATGCAGTTGGGCTCCGCGTGGGCCCTGCCAGGGTGACAGGCAAACTTGTGCCCTCCGGGTGCCTCTTCCTTATCTCTGGAGTGGATTCCTGTGTGCTCAGTGTGGCTGGGGGAGGGTGCAGGCCCACCGCCGCCTCCGGAAGGCACCCCCTTCCAAGCTGTGGTGCCTCTCCTCAGAGGGGAGAACGGGCCTGGGGGCTTCGTCGTGCTCAAGGCGGCTGGAAACCCCCGCACCTGCACCTTCATCTGGATTCTGAACACCGACCTCAAGGTGAGGCTGCGGGGGCTGTGTGCCTCCCTCCTGTCCCGGCTGCAGCGGGCGGATGGCTGTCCCAGCTGTTCCTGGGCCCACCAGTCTGAGCACACAGTGCCATGTGGGCTGCGAGGAGGGGCCCTCTGGGCTGGGGTGACTTCTCCTGCCCCCGCAGGGCCGCCTGCCGCGGTACCTCATCCACCAGAGCCTGGCAGCCACCATGTTCGAGTTCGCCTTTCACCTGCGGCAGCGCGTTGGGGAGCTGGGGGCCCGGGTATGACCGCCTTGTGGATGGGGTCGCCACGGACCCTGGAGCCCAAGAGGGGACTGGCCCTGACCGTGGGCAGCACCTTGATCCCAACCGCTGCCCTCGGCCCGCTGAGCCACACTGTTGGGCAGGGCCAGGGCACTTGGACAGGAGGAAGTGGGGTTCATGCTGATGCCGCGCTGCGTCCCCACCTTGCCAGGATCAGGGACAGAGGCGCAGAGAGATCAGGATGCCACAGCCAGACTCAGCAGGGTCTGCCCACTGTCTCTTGCTGGCTTTTTCAGCCACTTGCTGGGTCTTAGACCTCGGACCTTTCGCACTGTGGGGGCACGGGAGGGGGCAAGGCCTCCCCTACTCCAGGGCCTCCTGGGATCCTTGTCATGTGAGCCAATTAAAGACATGAATTCAAAAGCAAGAGCAGGGGCCGGGGAGATGGCTCAGTAGGATAAGCGCTTGACTGGCAAATGCAAGGATCTGAGTTCAATCCCCGGTTCCGCCAAAAAAAAAAAAAAAAAAGAAGCAAAAGCACCCTCTCAGCACCAGCACCATGGCTCTGGCCTCATCTGCTCTGCCATTTGCTGCCTTGGTTGGCAGAGCTGGTGGCTGGGCAGCCGCAGGGCTGGCTGAGGGTCAGGGAGGCCAGGAGTGCTGCGGCCATCCTGCTGATCTCCAGGACTGAGGCTGGGTGGCCTGGAGCGGGGCCTGCTCACGAACGCCTCTGGGAGCGCAGGCCTCTCAGGGTCTGCTTGCCCCCCCGGGGTAGCTTGGAGCCTGGGGCCCCAGGCAGGTAGCCGCCTCTCTGAGGGCGGTTACGGCCAGCTGGGTCCCGTTTGGCTCTGGCCCGAAGTGTGACCCAGGCAGATTCACCCGTCAGAGCCTGCATTGCTGGCTTGGGGTGTGGCGGTGCGGTGCTTACCTATGCGTCCAGCCCCCAGAGGCTAAGGCGGGAAGATCAATAGTATGAAATCGGCCTGAACAACATATGGAGATCGTGTCTCAAAAATAAAAGGGTTAGGGATGCAGCTTGTGCGAAGGCCCTGGGTTCAGTCCTTAGGGTTGAACTGTAGAAAATGGGTCTGGGGCCAGTATCGTGGGGTTGTGGTGAGATTAAAGACTCGGGCGTGGCGACTCCCAGTCTAGACCCAAGCTCTGTCACCTGCTGTCCCCACGCTGCCTCATCCTCAGCCCATCGCTGCCTCTGCAATGGCCTCATCCCTCACCTGCTCCCAGCACCTGGCCCACTAGTGCCCTGGCCCTGAGTTCACACCCGGACGCCTCTGGACACTGCCCATGATGCCCAGAGTGGGCCGGCAGTGCCCTTGTCAAGGCCTGCTCATGCCGATTGCACTAATGACCCCGTTTGTACCCCGTGGGTACTGGGATAACATGGGGTCACTTGCTCCCTCCTCCCTTACTGGCAGACCCCTTCTCTGAGCACTGACCAGACAGGAAAGGCACCTGGTGGAGGCTGGTGCCTCGAGTCCCAGGTGTGGCATTAACATCCTCTCCCCTGGAGTGGCTGTGGTATCGGGAACCTTCTGGTCCAGGGAATGGGGGGGCACCCTTGACCTGAGGAGGCAGCGGGGAGGGGACAGTGCCTGTCACGCCTTCGGGCCACCAATGCCTGCTGTTTACAGACAGGCTCTGCTGCCTCCCCCTGGCGCAGAGCACCACCACGGTGGCACGGGGCTGCGCACGTGCCACTGCCGCTGACAGCCAGGTGCCTGAGGTGCGGTCCTTGAGACCCCAGGCACCGCTGGGGCATCCCTATGCCTCTGGAGGCTGCGTTCCGACCCCGGGCAGCCGGAATCGGGCACCCCCGCCCCGGCCTCTGACTCACAGCCCCCCCAGGTCACTGAGCGTCTAGCTGCTAATAGCTCCTGACGCCAGAGGGGCTGAAAATAGCCCTTGCAGAGGGGCGCGGCGCTATTTAAAGGCCCAGGGAGCTGGCCGGGTGGGGAGCAGTAAGCATGGCCACTTCGGAGCTGAGCTGCCGGGTGTCGGAGGAGGACCATGAGCGACACGAGGCCTTCTGGGCGGAATGGAAGGACCTGAGCCTGTGCTCGCGGCCCGAGGAGGGGTGAGTGCACTAGGTGGCCCGCAGTCCTGGAGGGAGCCCGTGGTTCCCGGGGTGGGGTCCCCACCAGCTCCAGAGGGGACTCACCACCTGCTTCCCTGCCCGCAGCTGCTCCCTGCATGAGGAGGATGTCCTGCGGCGGGAGACCTACCACCGGCAGGGCCAGTGCCAGGCGCTGGTGCAGCGGTCGCCCTGGCTGCTGATGCGCATGGGCATCCTGGGCCGCGGGCTGCAGGAGTACCAGCTGCCCTACCAGCGGGTGCTGCCGCTGCCCCTCTTCACGCCCGCCAAGGTGGGGGCTGCCAAGGAGGAGCGCGAGGAGACCCCAGTGCAGCTGCGGGAGCTGCTGGCGCTGGAGACAGCCCTGGGCGGCCAGTGCCTGGATCGCCAGGACGTGGCCGAGATCACCAAGCAGCTGCCACCTGTGGTGCCTGTCAGCAAGCCAGGGGCCCTCCGGCGCACACTGTCCCGCTCCATGTCCCAGGAGGCACAGAGAGGCTGAGGGCTGCAGTGATGCTGGCTTCGCAGTGTCTGCCCCGAGGGGGCCCTTCCTGGTGGGGGCCATGGAGGGCACTGCTGGTCGGGGATGCTTTGTAGTTTGCCCAGAGCTGGGGGCTGGGAGGAGGGAGCCAGAGGCCAGGACACCTGGGTCTGTGTTCCCCAAGAGAGAGGCGAGGACGGTGGGCACTGGAGGCAGAGAGCAGGCGGCCAGCACAGTTGAGCAGCCTCAGCCCCAGGAGAAGGAAGAAGGAGTGCTGGTGAGGTCGCTGGGAGCAGCCACACTGGTGCAGGTCTGAGCCTCAGAGGAAGCCTGTGCCAGATGCAAAGGCTCCAGAAGGCAGCTGGGAAGAGACAAGGTGGGGGGATGTGTGGAGACCAGAGACAGGCAGGCCCAGCACCCCCTCTTAGTGCTGCAATAAATGCTCAGCTGTATTCCAGTTTCTGCTTCTTGTCGTCCCAGGTCCTGGGAACTGCTGGGGCAGGGGAGGGCAGAGCCATCACAGGGCCATGTCCGGGGCCCTTCCCTAGCTGGTCTGGCTCCTGTGTCCATTCCTTGGCATTGGACAGTGTCTGGAAAGCCAGCTGGCATTAGGGCTTGTTTAAATGACATGAGAACACGGCGGGTTGGCACTAGGACTGTCCCTGGCCATGTCCACTGCGCATGGGGTCAGTGACCTCCAGGCCTAGCAGATACGGACCCAGACGGAGTCAGGACCTGGCTGTGGGCGTGGGGGTGAGCTCGGGTTCCTGTCTGTGCCCTGCAGCTGCTGCGATGGCTCATGGCCCAGCAAGGACACTTGCTCTTCAGCCCAACGGTACAGAGGGGGCTGGGCCAGTGGAGGCCAAGGGCAGAGGCCTGGCAGCTTCTGGGGCAGAGGGGCACAAGCCCTATCCCAGGAGCCCAGGGATTCACTACAGGGAGATGACACCCCAAGGCTAGTGAGGATTGCTGCCAGCTCAAGGCCAGCCTGGACTACGTAGCAAGGCCCTATAGGAAAAACACAGGAAAACAAAACAGCAAAAACCAGAATCCACTTCCCATTTGGGGCGTGAGGGGAAAGCCCGCAGGAGCTTGAGCAGCACCAGGCAGGACCTGCAGGCTGGGCCAGGCCAGCTCACCGGGCAGAGCCCACACCGCGAAGGCCCTGGCCCCTCCCCAGGTTGCCCTGACTCCTGGGCCAGGATGTCCTGAGCGTCTGGGAGGCTGGTGTCCACCCACCCAGTGCATTAGCTCCACTCTCCACTCCACTATCAGTGCTGTTATCACCGAGGCCTGGGGCAACTGGACTGAACCAGGTCTGAACACACTGTCCTGGAGGTGGGGACAGGACGGGAAGAGGGACCAGAGGAGGGGCAGAGAAGCCTGGGGGACAGTGCTCAGGGAGAGGCATCCCAGAGGAAGGGGAATGGGACAGGTCTGAGCCCCCTGGAGGGGGTGCTGGGGTGGTGGGGATCAGGGTTGGGGCTCACTGGAACCTTGGGGAAGAGAAGGGTTGAGATGATGCAAGACACAAGGTGTCACTTGCCCGTCATCGCAGCACTGGAGGCTGAGGCAGGAGGAAGCCTGGGCTTCATAGTGAGTTCAGCCCAGGTGACACCACCAGATCTTGTCTCAAAACTCAAACAAAAAGTGGGTGTGGAGCAACAGGTGCGAGGCCAGACCTCCTGGACATGCCGGGTTGTGCCTGGGCTGCAGGGCCCCGGTGTCCCAGCGCCCCCCTCCCCCCGCATGCGTCTGTGTCTGCGACTCCAGATGGATGGAGGTGACGCGTGTGGCCTCGGGCAATGATTGCCCAGGCGCCGCGGCACCGAGGGCCCGGGCGGAGCTGCGCAGATAAAGGGGCTGGGGTAGCAGGGTCCCGGGCAGCAGAGGCACCATGAGCCAGGAGGACCCGCGCACCGCGAGCGTGGCTGCTGCCTACCAGCGCTTCGATCCCTCCGCCTACCTGCGCAACAACTACGCACCCCCGCGGGGCGACCTCAGCCGCCCCAGTGGCGTTGGGCCCTGGAAGCTGCGGTGTCTGGCAGAGACCTTTGCTACGGGTGAGCCGGGAAACAGAGGTCCAGAGGGGAGGGGTCGGGACAGCAACAGGGCTGCGCCCATGGGGCCGAGGCGCAGAAATGGAGACCAGGTGCAGGTGCCGCTGAGGGTGAACCAAGGGATGGCGGAGGGCACTGTGCCTGTAGGCATGCTGCTGGGGAGACTGAGGCAGAATTGTCCAGGAGGTAAAGGCCAGCCTGGGCAACAGGCATGGCTCTGTCTCTGTCTCTACCTCTCTCTGCCTGTCCCCAGGGTCTCGCTATATATAGTTCACACTGGCTTTGAACATACTATATAGCTCAAACCGCCCTCTGACTCAAAGCGACCCTCCTGCCTCAGCCTCTTCAGTGCTGGGATCACAGGTGTGCACCACCACACCTGGCAGAGCCCTCTCTTAGCAGAAGAGCAGAGCAGAGCAGTGAAAAGAAGACAGAGAGGAGAGAATGCCTGGTACTGGGGGCAGAGACTGAGGGGGGCAGGCTCGCTGGGTGTTGGGCTCTCCCTCACCCTCCCTGGAGATGTGGCACCCTAGGGCTCTAGAGGAGCCGAGTTTCTCTTCGAAGATAAGAGGTCACTGCTGGAGTCAGGGGAACCTGGCCTAGTCTGACTTCAGAGCTAGAGCTCTTCCTCAACTGGACGGTGAGGACTGCCCCAGCCAGGGCAGCCAGGCTGGCCTGCACAGAGCCCCTCACTGTGCCTGCCCAGGGGAGGTGACTGGGCGCACCCTCATCGACATCGGCTCGGGCCCCACGGTGTACCAGCTGCTCAGCGCCTGTGCCCACTTTGAGGACATCACCATGACGGACTTCCTGGAGGCCAACCGCCAGGAGCTGGGGCGCTGGCTGCGTGAGGATCCAGGGGCCTTCGACTGGAGCGCATACAGTTGGCACGCATGCCTCATTGAGGGCAGGGGGTAAGGCAGGGCCTGGCAGGGCGGGGGGTCCAAGGAGGCTCAATGGGGCAGCCCTGAACCCACCTCGTGCCCCTCCCCAGTGAGTCCTGGCAGGAGAAGGAGCGCCAGCTGCGAGCCCGGGTGAAGCGCGTGCTGCCCATTGACGTGCACCAGCCCCAGCCCCTGGGCGCTGCCAGCCCTGCGCCCCTGCCCGCCGATGCCCTGGTCTCTGCCTTCTGCCTGGAGGCTGTGAGCCCTGACCTGGCCAGCTTCTGCCGGGCACTGGGCCACATCACCACGCTGTTGAGGCCGGGGGGACACCTGCTCCTCATCGGGGGCCTGGAGGAGTCATGGTACCAGGCTGGGGAGGTCAGGCTGGGGGTGGTGCCCATGAGCGCAGGGATGGTGCGGGAGGCCCTGGTGCTGGGTGGCTACGAGGTCCGGGACCTGCGCACCTATGCCATGCCCGCGCATCTGCAGACGGGCGTGGACGATGTCCAAGGCATCTTCTTTGCCTGGGCCCAGAAGGCGGCAGGCGTGGAGGTATGAAGGTCCAGGGTGCCCCTGGTGCTGTCACCCAAAGTGGCACCTAATAAAGTAATCGCTTCACTGAGTGTGGCCATGGTGCTCTGAGTCGGTCAACTTTCTCCCCAAGGTTCCTCCTCACTCAGGCTCCCCCAGCCACAGAAGCCCACCTCTGGGCTGCGCATCCTGCCCATGCCTGCCCCGAGCCAGGTGCCTGTCCAATGTGCTTGGTGTGGGGACCCCACCACCCCACTTTGGCTCTGCCTCTGTCCGGGCCAGTGCTGTGTCCCCTTCCCTCCAGCCTACCATGGACACGAGCGAGCTAGACAGGCTTGGAGCTGGTTTATTACACACATTCCCTCTTGTGTCACCACCTGCATGCGTTCAAAAGAATCTAGCAAGGCCCTGGGGCTGGCCATGAAAGTGCCTTCCCCACACAGGACCAGCAGGCGGGGAGCGCGGGCGGGAACCGGCTGGCCCCCGGGCTGCCGGGGGTGGAATGTCTCTGTGGCTGCACATTCTGTCCTTGTGGGAGGCCGGGCTGGGCACCGGCAAAGCCACCAGTGACCTGTGCTGGGACTCAGGCACTGTGGCCTCAGCCTGTCCTGGGCCGCCCTGGCACAGGGAGCCTCTCTGGGAGGCAAAGCCAGCCTCAGCCACAGCTTTCTGCGCCCTCCCCCGAGTGCTGGCTGCTGGAGTCCATGCTGGCCAAGGGGAGGGGCCCACATGCCTTGCCAAGGAGCCGGGGTGGCCACAGAGTGGACCCCGTGTTTTTCCCTGCGCCCTGCCCTGTCCAGCAGGGACTGGTCCTAGGGGGCTCTTCAGCTGTGTGGGGGAGCTGGGTGCAGTGGCACATGCCTGAGCACTCAGCACTCGGGAGCCTGAGGCAGGAGGATCGGCATGAGTTCAAGACCTGTCTGGGCTACACAGTGAGTGCAAGGCCAGCCTGACTACGTACCAGACTCTATCCCAAGAACATAAAAAAATTGTTTAAAAAGTCACCGGGGGTTCCTGTGAGGCTCAGAAGGGCAGCAAAGGGGCACTGGGCTGGGAGACAGGTGTGCACACTCACTCAGATGTACACATCCCGCCCCCACAGACGTCTGTGCCTGGCTGTGGCCGCGGGCAGAGCTGGTGCTCAGGTGACTGAGGACCGTGACCCAGGCCCCATCCTGCGCCAAAGTCCCCACCGCGTGGCGCACACACCTGCTGCGGCACTCATCTCAGACTTGCACACAGCCTGTGACCTCCCCCCAAGAGCCTCCGCGCCCCCTCCCTTGCCTCTGCACTCACTTGGCCCGGCCCCTCCTCTCGAAGCCTGCAGGGGCCCTCTGGGGTCCTGCCCTGAAGCGGGGGAGGTGAGGCCTCAGAATGAGAGTGCATCACTTCCCCAGGTTCCAGTCCTGTCCCAGCTCAGCTGTCACTGTGACCCCAGCGGAGAGAAATTGGCCTTTCAACTGCGTAGAGAACAGACATCTAGCGCCATCTAGTGGCGCCTTGGAGGAGGGCGGGGTGGCAGCAGGGGGCCCCAGGGCCCCTAACTGGTACCTGGTCTGGGATGCCAAGAGGAGTCTGTGGGGATGTCTGGCTGCGGGGAGCAGAGGCAGCGTCCTCACTCTCCTCTGAAGCGCAGCTCAGCCGCAGTGCCCAGGGGCTTCCCCTCTGAGCCCTGGCCCCAGTGCAAAGAGACCACAGTCCAAGTTCAGGAAGCTAAAAGGCCTCAGGGGCTGAGGCAGGAGGACCGCCATAAGTTCAAGGCCAGCCTGGACTCTATAGCGAGACCCTGGCTCAGAAAAGGAACGAGAGCTAAAAGGCTGCAATCCGCCCTGGGGTCCTCAGTCCAGCTTGGACTTGGCTGCCGGCTCTCGCAGCAGGTACAGGCTGTCGTCTTCCAGGAAGCTGCGGATCAGGGTGAAGCGCACAGAGGCTCAGCCCAGTGGGAAAGCCAGGGGTGCAGGGTGTGGGTGGGGTGCAAGCAGGCTTGGCGGGGGCGGGGCGCACAGAGGCCCTCAGGTTCCCCTAGGCTCAGGGTGGCACCCACCGGAAGAAGAGGACATGCAGGGGGATGGTGCTGAAGTGCCACAGGGCATGGGCGTCCAGGACCCAGAAGAGCGGCGGGAAGTCCAGCAGCTCGAGCAGGGACAGCCCCTGGAGCAGCAGGACCACGGCTGCACACTTGCGCGTGTGTGGCAGCCGCCGGCCATTCCGCAGGCACCAGGCCAGCCACCACGCCACGTTCGCCAGGCCTGGGGCACAGGGGTTGCTTGCGGTCACCGTTTCTTCCCACTCTCTGGCACCCTCCCTGGCCAACGTCAGGCTCCCCACCCCCGTGTCCACCCAGAGTTCTGCGCATGCCTGCCCAGGGCTCACCGATAGCCACATTGACCACCAGGTTGTAGCCGTAGTCGAAGCGGACAAGGCTCAGGTAGGACACATGTGCGGTGAGCAGGAGCAGCAGAAGGCCCCGGAAGGCGCCGGCCACAGCCGGACGCTGCAGCCCCACAGTCCTGCACCCGAGAGCAGCCCAAATGTGACTGTGCCGGTGCCACCCCAGCCCCAGGTCCCACCCAGGACAGCCCGGAGGGAGCGCGGCCTCCAGGAGCACACCTGACGCAGCACAGGTAGATGGAGTGCAGGATGACAGCCGAGGCGCAGAAGTAATCCATTTTCTGAGGACGACAGAGCCTGTGAGGGTCCGTAGGGAGCGCAGGGCACAGGGAGGGTCACAGAGGGGTGCGGAGAGGGACAGAGCCTGGGCCAGCAGTGTCCACGCCACACACTCTGCTGTCTCAAGGCCAGAGCAGAGGAGTGGGTGCACTGTGTTTCTGGGACACCAGGCAGGGTGCAGCCGGGACCAGAGACGCCAGCAGGCTCCAAACTGGGGCACGGCCTGGAGTGTGATGGCTGTGGGCTCAGTCTCCTCCAAGACCCCACAGGCTCAGGGCATGGGTGCCGTGGGGCAGTGCCACTCACCTCTGTGAGCTCGGTGTCCCTAGTGTGGAAGACCGTGGACCAGAACCAAGCATTGAGGGACACCTGGGAGGACAGGTCAGTGAGTGGCTGCTCCCCTCCCAGGGGCTTCCTTGTGCCCCCTGCACACCCAGCCAGTTTCCTCTAGGCCACGCCCATCATCCTAATCCCCAAACCTCAGGGGCTGTGGGCTGCTAGCTCCCCCAACCTAGGAACCAGTTCCACCAACGCCAGGTCCCCAGTTACCTAATCGCTGAGGCAACAGCCCCGGGCCACACCTCCACCCCATGCCAGCCAGGACAGCCCCACCCGGCCTGGGGGCGCAGTGAGCTCAACCTCTGGGGGCGGGAGGAGGCAGCAGTAGAGGCGGGAGGGAGCCAGCTCCGGAGCTCCTGGGAAGCTCCACCGTGGCCCACCTGGCTGGCCCAACTGGCCGGACCAGAGATGGGGGGGTGGGGCCGGCGCCTTCCCGGAAAGGAGGTACCTGCCAAATAGGATATGTTGGCAGGGGAAGTTGGCATCAACCTCACTGGAGAGTGGGCTGGCCATAGTGACAGTCACAGGAGGGGACAGCAGGGCCAGGCCTGGCAGATCCCGAGGGGTGAGGGACACTGAGGACAGACAGGCCTGCACATGCTGGAGGAGCCAGGGCTGCTTGCTTGGGCATCAGGGTAGGGCAGGTGGTGGCCGCAGGCAGACAGAGTAGGGCGAGAAGCCGCTTCTGGGAGAGGAGGGGTGGCAGGATGGAGGTGGGTGGCACAGCCCAGGTTGCTCGAGGACTGGTCACTTCCTCCCCGCTGTCCCTGCTCCAGAGTCCTGGGGGCACAGGCTGAGCCCAGGAGGGGGGCTGACCTGGAGGCTCCATAGGGCCAGTGTGGGAGAGCTTGCCTGGCCTGGAGCCAGGGCGGGGCCCTGGGCACGGGGACATCTTGGGCAGAGGGTGGGAGGCAGGAGGGCAGGCAGCGGGGACTGGCAGCCAGCCAGGCCTCCTTGTCACCCACAGAGGGCAGGGGAGGCGACAAGAGGCCAGAGCCAAGTGGCCGTTGGAGCACAGAAAGCAGGGGGAGGTGTGCCTCGTGGGCCAGGCCTCGGCTCCATGGGGATGGCACGGGGGCATGGAGGGGCCTCCCAGGTGCCTTGCACTAGAGACCTGCTCTGCCCACAAGCGGGCCCTGTACCCTAGAGACTCTCTATTATGGGGACTCCTCTGTCTCAGCCTGGCCCTGCACTTCCTGTGTGAGTTAGCCTGGTGGCCTCAGTCTTCTCATCTGTGAAGTGGGAATGGTTGCAGTGCCCACCATGACCTAACAAGTAGGACAGGCACAGGTAGCACCTGGCGCCAGGCACGGGGAGGCTTGGGCGCTATTCCTTCCTTCAGTGGGTGGCACAGCACCCTCCCAGCTGCCCAGGGCCCCAGGCCACGGAGAGCAGGTCTGGGATGGCACGTGCCTGGCAATCCAGCAGGGAGGAGGACTGCAGAGAATTCAAGGCCAGCCTGAACTACATAGCAAAACCCTGCCTCAAATTAACAAACCAAATAATAGAAACCAAGTCGTCCTCCCAATCTCCCTCCAGGCCCAGGAGGCCCAGGCTGAGGACAGAAAGTTCAGTCTGCACCATGAGACACGGCATCCAGCCCCGCCCAGCTCCCGAACAGCAGCTTGAGTGTGACGAGAGGGGGTCTCACTGTCCCTCAAGCCGGCCTTGCGTCCTGGGCCAGACAATCCCCCTGCCTCAGCCTCCCCACTGGCTACAGGTATGCACCGCCGAGCTCACCTGTGTGCTCCTGAACACATGACCGAGAGTCCGAGACTCAGGCCTCAGCCACCGGACAGGGCCAGGCACAGCGCCTCATTCACAGCAAACTGTGGGGGCGACTGAGGCCTTCCAGGCACAGGGTGCCGCCTGGAGAGGGCCGCCCTTACTGCTGCTTGGCGTGTCTCATGAACGCCAGTGTCCTGCGTGTGTCTCCTGACTTGGGTGACCCCAACGTCCCCTTCCTCAAGGGTCAACAGGTTCACAGTGAAATCACAGTGTCCACCTACAACACAGACCTGCAATCGCAGGAACAGCTTTGCCCCTACGGCCTGGACCTCCACATGGCACCAAGGGACACTGCTCCTCCCCAAGCTGACCACCAAGGAGGGGGCCGGGCAGCGTGGCCCAGCAGGAAGCTCTTTCAGTCTGCTAGAAAATAATACAATTGAGCCCAGAATATCCCGTGTGATGCTGGTAGGATGTCAGGAGCGCCGGAGCGGTCAGGAATTCGCCCCTGCACTAGGCCCAGTGCTTGGCTGGGGCCGACACCCTGGCAGTGGGGACAAGTGGGTCTTTAAATAGCTTAGTGTCTCAGAAAAGGGGGAGGCAGAATGTTAAATATGACGCCTGCTGCCACCTGCCCCCTTCTGCAACCAGGGACACCACGTCCATGCAATCAGGCCCAGGGGAGGGGCTTCCTCCCGCATCGGACAGGATTCCTTGATTTCATGACCATCCAGAAGCCCCCCAGGGTCTGCCCACCTGTGTGCTGCACTCTCCACCTGTCTCCCAGGGTCCTCCCAGCACCTGGCACACAATCAGTCCCCAGCCCTAGAAACCCTTGCACAGAGACGAGCGAGGTCCCCACCGCTCCCTCCTCACACCTTGGCCCGAAGCCCTTCCCTCCCACATGGGCAGGCAGGCGTGGACAGCGTCAGCCTCGGCCCTGGCAGCCAGGAAGGGGGGCTGCTTGGAAGTCCAAGGCCTGATGCTCAGAGCTTTGGTGTCATCTGGTCCTCGGCTGCCAAGAACGAGGATCCTTGTGTTTCCAAGGGAAAAGCAGAGGACCCTGCCCAGGCAGACCCTGGGGCCAGTGCTGGGCACAGAGACGAGGGCCCACTTGTTGCGAGGACCCAGCCCCGGACAAAGTTCCCGGCCGCACCCTCTCAAGCCTGGGCTCCCTTCCTCCTGAGGAAACGCAAGACGCACACGTCTTGGGATCAGGTGTAAAAGTGAAACTGGTCATGAGGGGCTGGGCTGGGACTGGGGCCCTGCAGACACCCCTGGATGAAGGGTCTAAGAGGCAGGGGAGTCAAGGCCAGTGCTGTAGCCTAGTGTGGGTGCACACCTATGATCCTCGCACTTGGGGGGCTGAGGCAGGAGGATTGTGAGTTCAAGACTGGTGTCCTGCTGTGACCACTGGCCCTTGCACACATCACTAGGCAAAGGCTGGGTCCGTCCAAGGGGCCCTCGGGCCTGCAACGCAAGCACAGAGGCCCAGAGCACTGTTCAGGGTGCCCACAGGGCTGTTCCTGCCCACAGGGTGGGGGCAGGGATAGTACAGACAGGGACCTACCTGGGAGGCTCTGATCTAAAAACATCCAATGCACCCTGGTGCCCCCTTTCTTCCTGAGGTCACCACAGTCCCGCTGAGCCGCGTCTCCTCCGATCCATGCAGGCCATGGAGTCAGAGGCCACGAGGCTGCGAGCCCTTCTTCCTCAGATGGACTAACTCAGGTTCCCCAGGAGGGGCACAGGGCACTGAGATCCATGTGACAATAGGACCGCTGCCTACAGCCTGAGCTGGACTAGAGGTCACCCCAGGCCCTGCAAGGGGCCTTGGTAGCTCTCGTAACCCCAGCTTGGGTGGCCGGAAGCCCGAGGGAAGTGCCCGAGGGAAGATCAGAGGGCCCCCTTCCTCCACAAGGTGCCCGGGTCACCTACCCAGGCGAAGGCCACACACGTGTGGTACATAGGGCACGTGGCAGGCACAGAGGCGCGGTATCGGCAGAGCATTACCAGGCTAGCCAGGCCATTGAGAAAAGAGGCCACAGCGGAAGCCGGCTCTTGGAAGAACAGGAATCGGAAGAAGGGCCACTGGAAGGGAGATGGAAAGGAGCTAAAGACAGCGACCCCAACCAGCCCAGCCAAGCAGCCCAGGGCCTTCACACTGAGCCGTTTTTCAGTTTTTCATTTTGAGACATTTTGAGGCTTGCCATGACCCCAAAGCCAGCTTGGGATAAATATAAGTTCAAGGTCAGCCCAAGGGAGATCATGAGGTCCTGCTCCCCAAAAGGCCCCAGAGAGCAGCAGGCTGCAAGCAGGGCAGGGGTGTGCGTGCCCCAGACACCTGTCACCCCGTACCCGGGACCGTCAGAAGAGCCGGGCTGACCGGGAGCATCTGATCCACCAGCCCCACCACGGCGCTTCCCAGACCCACGACTCACCTTGCCATGGAACTGGGGCACCCTGTGGCCCTCCTGGAGGTACAGGCCGACGGTGACCCACATGCAGGCGTACTTGCAGTCGTCCCGGCAAGTCCAGCCTGTCAGAGACAGACAGCGCACGGTGGCACAGGGGCCAGGAGAAAGCCTGGAGCCTCAGTCCTCCCAGGCGGCGGGGAGAGCGCGGTCAGTCACGGAGGGAGACAGCAATGGCTGAACAGAACAGAACTGGAAGCCGAGACCTTGGAGCGGGGACCTAACCTTGCACTGTTCCCAACTGGGAAACAGGGACTAGAGGAGAGGCTGGTGACAGTTACCTGAGCTACAGGGGCATCTGTCACGCCGTGGGCGCACTCTACGTCAGCTCCTTGTCCACTACCGCGTGAGCCCAAATTTAACCTACCGTCGGAGGCTCCATCTTCAAGAAATGTCCCGGTCCCCTCCCCCTCAAAGGAAGCATCCCAAAACGTGCCCAGTGCTTAAACCGAAGGGTGTTTTAGGGTTCAAATCATTCTGAAAGTTTTTGTTTCACTTGAGACAGGGTTTCACTACGCAGTTCGGGCCTGCCTGGAACACACTGTAGCCCAGACTGGCCTCAAATTTGTTGAAAGCCTCCTGCTTCAGCCTCCTCAGCGCTGAGATAACAGGCTTATGCCACACCCAGCATGGCATGAAGTATTAAGTAAATACTGGTTTGACTGAATAAATAAAAGGTAAAAATGCACGGGCTCGTGCGACTCTATCACCCTGGAGGATGCACTCACACGCAGAACCAACGCGGGTGGGGAAACCAAAGTTCAGAGATTGCAAAGTACTGGGGGGCGCGATGGGCGGGGCCACGACGAGTGGGCGGGGCTCGCCGAGGGGTGGAGCCTACCTGCTAGACTCATGTAGATTGGCTGGTGGGAGCGGAAGTGCTTCAGAGCGCCCCCCGAACAGTTCCGCTCCTCGCACCGCAGCACGCAGTCGCGGTACACCGGCTCGCGGTCGCCTTGGGAGGCGCTAGCCAGCGCGGCTGCCCCGGCCAGCAGCACCAGCCGCGCCGCGCTCACCGCCATCCTGTCACGCTGGCTGGCCGCGGAAGGCGGAGCATAGACTCCACTTCCGGAGTAACCGGAAGTACCGGTGCTTGTCTTTACACCCTCCGTTGACGCACACTCACTTTTAAATAAAAGTTCCCGGATTTTTGTGGGCGCCTACCGTGCCCCTTGGCTCTGCCGTCTCTCCCCAAAGAGGCGACAGACTGAAAGGGAAGGGGGATGCCTGGTGAGATCAGAAACAAAAAAGAGTGATTTTTTTTTTCTTTTAATTCTCCAGGGATATATGCTTTTTTAAAAAACAAGGAATAAAAGTTTCTTAAACTTTTGGAGATAGTAAGCTTAAAGCATCCCCAAAAGTTTAGCAAACCTTTTTGGGTCAGATCTTTCAGAGATCTGTAGTTGAAGTTTCAGAGTATGTGCACTAAAATTGGCCTTAATTTCAGGAAACTAAGCTTTTTCTATCCCTAGCCATGTTGGGTCCCAGCCCCCAGGTGACCCCGGCTCCGAGTGCTCACCTCCCCTGCGGGCACCATCTGGCTGGGGACCTCCCTGCTGCGGGCTCTCGCCTGCACTGTGCTCCCTCCTGCACTGTGCTCCCGTTGCTAACCCTTAAAATTCTTCACCAGCTCAGAATAAGAAAAGCACAGACCCCAGAAGCCCAGCGCAACCCCACCTGCCTGCCTACCCAGGGCTTCATGCTCTGGATCCACCTCAAAAGACAGAGCCCCTCCTCCAGCCTCTGTCCCTTTTGTGTCTCTCTTCTTGCCTTCCTGTCACCAAGAGAAATGCTCCCTGCTTCTGAGGGTGCTTCTCAGCCTCTGCTGGGGAAAGGTGGCCCCAGGGATAGGGACCTTCCTGTCCTGCTCATCGCTGGCCCCTAGCACTAGAGCAGAGCTGGGCCCAGGAGAGGCCCCGCCCCCTTCCTGGGCTTTGTTGGTTTGTTGTTGTTTAGAGTCAAGTTCTCACTATGTAGCTCAGGCCTGGAACTCAGGATCCTCCTGCCTCTGCCTCCCAAGTGCTGGGGTTACAGCTGTGCACCACCACGCCTGACTTATTTTTATATTTATTTATCTTTTACTGAGGATTGCACTCCAGACCTTGGGCTTGCCAGGCAGGCGTTTATGCCCTTGAGCTATCTCCCAGCCCTATTTCTCTTTTTGACACAGGGTCTAGCTATGCAGTTCAGGCTGGCCTTCAAGTCATTCTGTAGCCCAGGCTGGTCTCAAACTTGCAGCAATCCTCCTGCCTCAGCCTCCTGGGTGCTGGGATTATAGGTGTGCACCACCACACTCCGCTGTGCTGACACTTTTAATACATGAATGCTATGTTTCAACATAAAACTCAGGGTGCCTGTCTGGAGCTGTCAACCCACCAGCATGGATTTTTGAAGAGAAGACAGGTAGCAGTATTCCAAGGAAAAATTGAGAAGGACCCTTGGGACTACGCATGCTTGCTTTATCACCCCCATAGCTCTCTGAAAGACCACTGGCGGCCGCCCACCTGCCCGAATCTCCCAGAAGCCTTCAAGTTAGGTGGATAACAATGCCTCCCTCCTTCTACACTGTGTCACCCTTTGTCCCTTTTATGCTGGAGCCTGGGGTGAGAGGAGGGGAAAAGCAATCTTGGGTCCCATACGTTCCATCAGCACAGCCTGTAGACTTTTTTTTTGTTTTTGTTTTTTTTTGCGGGAGGAAGGGTCTACAGGGTGTTCAGGGTCTCATGACTAGATCGGACTCTAGTGATCCACTTGGGGTTTTGGTTGGTCTTTTTTTTCTTTTTTCTTTTTTTTGCGGTACCGGGGATCCAACTCAGGACCTTGTGCTTGCAGGCAGGCGCTATGCCGCTCAGCTATATGCCCAGCCCGTGATCCGCTTGTTTACAGCCTCCCAAGTGCTGGGATAACAGGCGCACGCCACCACGCCCAGTCTTAATCCGTCTCAGCGCACCCCGCACCCGGAGGTCGAACCCCAGGTCCCTGCGCCTGCAAGGGACCTTTAATCCGCTGAGCTATTTGGCCGGCCCGTGGACTTCTCTCGAGCTCGTGGTGCTAAGCGCGTCACAGCTGCAGCTCCCACTGCTGCATCCGATTCCTGAGAATGGCGCTTCCGCAGCTGAGCGCGATGTGAAGCGTGTGGCGGGCGCTGAGCACACAGCAGACTAGAAGTTGGAATGAAGCAAGCGGACACCCCTCCAGGAGCCAATCCCGAACAGCGGAGGGCTCGTACTACTGTGTTACCTGCAGATCGGTCCTTTCAAAAATACTTTTTCATTTGGTCCTTATTAATTTCGAGGAATTTGTTTTTCTTGAGGCAGTGTCTCACTATGTAGCCTAGGCTGACCTTGGGCTCACAGCAGTCCTCCTGCCTCAGCCTCCAGAGTTCTGGGTTTGCAGGTTTTGAGCCACCATGCCCAGCTGTGTCGTTTCCTTGTTTCCACCATGCAGAGCCCACCGACCTGTCTTCTGTTTTGTAGAATGAAGGCAGCCCCCGCTAGGGTTCATGACTGATAGCCACTTAGATCCCTCCTAAAACATGCCGTCATTTTGAGAGGATGATCTTTTGAGAGGGTGGTGTCTTTCTGGGACAGCTCTTTTTTTTTTTTTTTTTTTAATGTTTTTAGGACAGGATCTACAGGGTCTCACTACGTAGGTCAGACTCGTAGTGATCCTCCTTTTATCACCTTCCCCAGTGCTGAGATTACAGGCGCTATCTGGCCAGCCTTTGGGACAGCTCTTGAAACTTTTCCTTCTACAAATACCTTTTTCTCTTGCAAGATATTAGCCTGAGTTCCAGCTAATCCACGGAGTCCCATTAGTCTCAGGTACATCTTAATTTCTTTCTTTTTGGAGGAACCAGGGATGCACTTATTCTACTGAGCCATCTCCCCGGCCCCTTAATGTACATCTTAAGTTGTGTTTAGTGTCTGACCGGAGCTTCAGGCTGCAGAGTCAGCCATTATTCTTCCAACTCAAGCTTCGTGAGCCCGGCTGTGTGTCAGCTGCTGCAGTAGTGTGGGGGAAAAGCAGACAAATCAGGTTCCCTGGATGGGTGTGGTGGCATACGCCTGTCATGCCAGCACTCGGGAGGCTGAAGCAGGAGGGTCTCAGGAGTTTGAGGTCAGCCTGGTCTACCTGGTTCACAGAACAAGGACAAGAAAGACAAAGCAGCTTGTGCAGAGGTAAGAGCTGCATGACAAGCTGACCATATTCTTAGAGCAAAAATGAGGGCGGGAGGATCGACACTGTGGGTCCCACTTTCACCAAATATTTATTAAGGCTCACAGAGTGCAGTGCGCTGGGGACAGGGTGTCTTTCTCATGGCCAGAGAAAGGATATAAAGGAAGAACTTGCAAACAGATGACTAAAAAGTTCACTAAAATAATTCACGATCTTGCTGCTGAATAACAACACACCGTCCAAACCCCGTACAGGATGAGCCTGTGAGCTGGAGCTTGCGCAGTGGGAGAGAAAGGCACCGAATCCCCTTGCTGGCAGTTCCCTCATAAGTTTGTCCGCACGGGCAAAATTTGGAGACACACAGAGGTATTCACAATCGTGTTAATTATTGTTCTCAATAGAAACAAAAGGTGACCGGGGATAGCTGTGAGCATCTGCAATCATAGCACTGGGGAGGCTGAGGCAGGAGGGTCACCATGAGTTCCAGGCCAGCCGGGGCTACAGTGAGGCCCTGTCTCAAAACAAAAGACTAAATGTCAGCAATAGGGAATGAATTACATTCACTAAAGGAGGACCACAAAGCAGAATGCTGAAGAGAGATTAATTGGCATGGAGCAGCTTTGTAACGTACCAGCTTGGAACAATCTCCACAATACCTTTGTTAAGTATAAGACCCAAGGTGTAAGTTCAGCATGGTGGTTCACACCTGTAATTCCATTATGAGGGAGGCTGAGGCAGGAGTGTTGCAACTTGAAAGACAGCCTGGGCCATTTAGCAAGACCTGGAGAGGTAGCTCAATAGTAGAGGGATTTCCCAGCAGGCATGAGTGACACTCTAGGTTTGGTCCCTGGGGTGGGGGTGGGGAGGCCTTATACTACATGTGTATATCTTCAACTTAAAAACAAAACCAAAAAAAAATTTTTTTTTAATTAAAAAAAAAAAAACAGAGCCAAAGGCCAGGGTGTTGCTCAGTAGCATAGTGCTTGCCTGGCAAGTGCAAGGTCCTGAGTTTGATTCACAAGACCAAAACCAAACCAAACCACAAAGGCAAAATGTAAAAAAGAACAACTTCCTGTGTGGATAGAAGTCAGAAGCAGGATTGGTTGGTGATGTCCTAGCTGTAGCAGGGAAGGTGGGACAGGAAGCCTACTTTGGGTCAGCCGGCGCCACCCTTCCCCTAGACCTGCAGGACCAGAGGAATCAGCCCTGCAAACCCTGGGTGGGGAGTGGACAGAGCCCTCGAGCCCTAGGGCGGAGGTCCAGGGCAAAGGCCCAGGGGTGAGCACCTGGATCACCTCCGGAAATCAGAAAAGAATGCGAGAACCGCAGCTTCGGGGTATGGGTCTGGTAGGCGACGCCCTAGGTGACAGAGGTTTCCTTTCATGTTTGCAGCCTTTAATTTGGCTGCTGAGGGAAAGGGAAAGGATCACAGGGAAAGGAAACAGATTGCTGAGAGCCAGGTACTTTGCTGGGAGGAGAAATGACAAAGGTGAGAGGAGCTGGTGGGAGTGTGGTAGAAAAAATAGGAGGCTTTGGAAGGGAGTCCCTACACCCCAAGGAATGCCTGGACAGGAAGGGCAACGGAAGAGCGGACCCAAATAGGGGTTCAGTCCGCGCAACTGGCCTTGTCCTCTCAGGCCATGGCTGCCATTGCTATGTGCTTCTGGAAGCTTCCTGGTCTTCTCTAAAACCGAAAGCAAAGCCAAGCGAGGCAGTCCACCCTGTCATCCAGCACTGGGAGGCTGAGGCAGAAGGGTCACTGTGAGTTCAAGGCCAGCCTGAACTGCACAGTAAGACCCTGTCTCAAAGACACAACAAAATATATAATAGTAAAAGAAAGAAAGAAAGAAAGAAAGAAAGAAAGAAAGAAAGAAAGAAGGAATCATTGTGTCCAATTCTCTCATGTCACAGAGGGCAGAGTAAAACCCTGCTCAAGGCCTGAGGAGAGCCATGGTCTGACAAAGGACCAGGGACAACCGGAGGCCACCTGTGGAGCGGCCAGCACAGACCCAGGCTGCCAGGGAAGCTGTGTGTCAGCCCCTGTGCCTGCAAGGAAGCAAGGGGAGGCGAAAGGCCGAGGGGAGGACCAGCCCCAGCCTCAGGCGCTTTCCTGGATGCGGGTGAGAAGATCGGGGAGCAGGCTGGGAGGTGCTGCAGGCTGGGGGCGGTGCCTGGGGCGCTGCTGGGTCTGTCACTGTCGCTGTTTGTCTGGCTAATCCTGGGCCAAGGCCGGCTCCGGTGGTCGGTCTACCTGTGTTCATTCCAGGACACCCTCAGAAAGGACCACTTTTTTTTTTTTTTTTTACTGGTGCTGTGATTCCATCCAGGGCCTTGAACATGCGAGACAAGCTCTCTGTCACTGAGCTCCACCCACACCCTTTGTGTGTATGTGTGTGTGTATATATATACACATACATATGTTTGGCGCAGGGTCTCACTGTGCAGCTCGGACTCATAGTGATCCTCCTGTCTCAGCCTCCCTAGTGTTGAGATTATAAGCGTGCGCCACCATGCCCAGTTCTGAGGCCAGCACGGCATGTGGTACCAGGGATCAAACCTGGGTCCTTGCACTTGCCAGGTGGGTGCCTAGACTGTCAAGCTATCTCCCCAGCCACCCTTCATATTTTGAAGCAAGATCCTGCTAAGCTGCCCAGGCTGCCCTCCAACTTGCCATCTTTGTGCCTCAGCCTCCCAAGCAGCTAGAGTCCCAGGCATGTGCGGCTATTCCCTTAGCCGAAGCTTCTAAATGACTTTAGTGACCCCGGGAGGCCGGGAGGCCGTATATTCCACCCTGGGGCTCTTTTTGAATGACCTTCCTGTTCCTGGCTGCTGTGCCCAACCTCTAGGCCTGCCGGGGAGGCCATAGCTGGTGCCTGGACCTGGCTGGGGACCAGGCCGCCTCTGTCTCCCCTCCCTTTTGTTTTGGGGTTGGGACTCACACTTGGGGTCCTATGCTTGCCTGCCGGTAGGCCCTGTGCTGCTAAGCTACGTCCCCCAGCCCCCATCTCCTCCTTTTTTGTTCCTGTTGAGCCCCAGGCTGGTGGGTGAGGTAGGCAGAGGGAAGGAGACTCCAGGGCGAACACAGCCCCACACACCCTCACTCACTCACACACACACACACACACACACACTCACACTCACATGCACGCACACATGCACGCCTGTGCACACGTAACCGAGACAACCAAGGCCTTCCGCGCCCCTGTCTCAGCAGTGGCTGTCAATGATTGACTGGCATTTCACAGCCTACTGCCTTCAGACCCCAGCCTGGTGACCCTCAGAGGTCACCTCCATCAGCCAGAGCCCCGTCCTGCTCCTCCATGTCAGCAGTTACCCCTGCAGCCTGTGCGCCACCACCTATGGCCCCTGGTGCTGCCCTCTGACCCTGGGTCTGGGGTCCTCTGTGGCCCAGTCTCATCCCTCTCTGCACCCCGCTGGGTTCTTCACCCCGCCTCCCCTAGAAGCCCTCGGTCTTTGTTCCTCACAGGCCTGGCTCCCCTGCCAGGCCTGGAGGGGCAGCAGCGGCGGCGAGACTCAGCGCCCCCCCTGCTCTTCCCCCTACAGTAGCGAGGTCTTTTCCTCTTCCTTCCGGCTCTCAATGCGCTCATTCTCTTTGGGAGCCTCCTCCCAGCCGCCCCAGCTCCTCCCCGTCCTCACTGGGCCCTGCGGTGGCTCTGTCCTCCTGGCGGCTCACTGGGACCCACAGCAACCAGGCATTGTCCACCCTTGCGGGTTCTTCCCTGGATCCGGTCCGCGACAGGGTGGCCTGCCTCAGAGGGAGGGGCTTCTTGCCCAGGCCACCAGGGAGGGTGATAATGGCACCCGGACTTCTTTCCAGGCTCTTTGGAGCATGCTCCCCTCTGCTCTGCCACCCAGCAAGCCCCTTACCCCCTTGAAGGCTACTTCTCCTGGGCAAAATGGGGACTGGTCCTGCTTCGGTCTCTGCCTCTTGCTCTCCTCCTGGGAATTTGAAGCCAGGGTGTTCACACTGAGCTCCGTCCCCAGCCCTTCCAGAGAAGATTTCACTAAATCCATAAACTGCCCCAGCAGAATTTGTGACTCTCCTGCCTCAGCCTCCCAGTGAACTGCGATTACAGGGCAGTGCCACTGCAGCTGCCTGACATTCGCTAAGGCCACACATACCCGGGCCCAGATGCGAGCGCTCTGGTGTGTGACCAACAGGTGACTGTCAGCTGGGTCAGGAAGTCGCCTCCCAGGACCGAGACATGCCGACTGACCCCAGTCCCGGGCAGGAGGATGGGCTTAGCAGCGCGAGGGCTGGGACTTGCTAGCCCCTCAGCTCTTCCTATTGGCCCCAAGGCGTCCTGGGCCAGACGCTCCGCTCTTTTGAGCCTGTTTCCCTTATTTTCACCCCGGGGTCTAACACAAGCCCAGGTGACTTGCTAAGGCACTGCTGTGTCCCAGTGTCCTTCAGTGACAGCAACCCAGATGAACACATTCGACATTTGCCACGCAGGCTGCACGCACGCACGCACGCACGCACGCGACGACGCTGGGTCCTCGCTGCACACATGTCTGGGTCTTTTCTATGCCTTTCCAACTCTTCTTTCTTTCTTGTCAATGCTGAGGATCACATTCACGGCTTTGTGCATGCTCTACCGCTGAACTCCCTCCTCATCCCCAGGCCTTTCAATTTTGACACAGGGTAGTTCAGGCTGACTTTGAGCTTACTGTGTAGTCCAGGCTGGCTTTGAACTCTCAGCGATCCTCCTGCCTCAGCCTCTCAAGTGCTGGAATT